GTGGAACATATGCGCCTGAAATATGGCGTATCACGAAATTGGGCAGGTTTACTCTGCAACATCAAGCAAAATGTAAGCCTTTAATGTAACGAAACGGATAAATATGTTACACCCCTGTTTACTGCCAAAAGTGTCTGGAATTAGTATCACGACTCTCAGTGGAGGTGTAAATTCTTAAGTATCCCGAAACCTGATATGTAACGTCCTTCCTGCATGGGTTATTTCTTGAATCTCCACTGTGTGACCAGTTAAGTTTAACTGAGGTAATATTGAAGCGTACAGTATCGGTGTAGTGTCTTGAGATTTAATTTTATTCATTAGTTACTACGAACTTTTATTTTCTGAAAAAGAATGTGACTGCATGTTATAAATGATTATGATTTTGTGTAATTGATATCACATATGTACGTATTGGTCTGAAACTCCTATGCAGCGTGTATATAAATAATTTTAAAATTACACGTGTTCTATATTGATCATGTGTTCAGAGAAGCTGTTATGTTATCTTATGTGCTAAGAAACAAAATCATGAATACTTTCCGCTGAAGTACAGCTTAGACAGTTACTTTAAATATTTTGCTGCATGACTAAATAGCTTGAACGAGAAATACTTTTGTGCACATATGTAGCTATAGGCTAAATCTACCCCGTTGCTTACCTTTTCTCAGTATATACTATACTCTAAAGTCACCATAATATTGTGCAGCTGTTATGTTCCAAAGCCAGTTCGAAAATTCTGAATGCATGGCTCCATAATGAAGCAGTCCATGGAGATCTGTTAAAACTAGTTACGAAACACGGCCCCAGTTGTGTGGAGAATTTACAGTGCCGCATCACGAAGTTGGTTAGTCAGGATGCTGATGCATTCACCAAATTACTTAATACCTGTACGTTTGATTATGTGTGTTTCTGTCTTTAGCTCGCTAGGCACAGCTTCTCCTACCTCTTCTGCCGCTTCTTCTACTACTACCACTGCTACTACTACTACTACTACTACTACTACCACCACTACGACTAGTACTGCCACTACTCCCCTAACAAGCACTTCGTCGGACGGCCTTCCTGCTCGGCCGAGGCAAAGTCACAAATCCCGACTCCTTCAGTTTTCCTCAAATCGCGGGTTTGTATATATGCTGAGGGAAACCAAAGGGAGAGTTACAAATCGCCATATTTTCGAACAGTAACTATTCCATATTACTTTCTTCTGCACTGTGACGTAGTGTAGTCTGGTACATGGTTCCTTTTTCAGGAGGCAGTCCGTTGCTTAGAAACGTTGGTAACCAGTTAACAGACTACACTGTCATAGCCCAGAAGATCTCCAAATGAATTTTCATTTCCATGGAAACCTCGTTGTCTCCACATTTAAGAAGTTTTACATGATCCAGTAACGTTCTCATGTGAGGTTACGAGCTAGTCTCCAGAAATCGTAAAATTGGTTATTCTGGCCTTTCCTGTTGTACCAAGTGCAAATGTGTGTACTCTGTGCAAGAAATGCGTTTGATCAAAAGTTCACGATTTTATTCTTTAAATTAGGCTTGTCCACCGTCCAGTGTATCTTATTTTCCTCTGATCATCCGAAAATATATACAAGTCATCGATAAATATTTTGGATGGGCGAATGCAGCTTGCAGTTGCGTGTCACATTTTAATGTGTTCTGAGTTCCAAAATGATCGCAGTCTGTTCATTTTCACTTTAAGGCGAATACCAAACACATTTCATTTTCAGTAATAGTATGTCATTCTATCAGTGGTTCATTGTCTCAAAAGTCTTCACGTTATATTGACAGTAACATTTACGTTATGTACGTAGGAGTAAATAAATACTATTTTTTTTATTTTGCATACGTTTCTTTAAGGGGGGGCACCCGGTAGCGTAGTTGCTTGATACATTATGCAACAAGCCGGAAGGTCGCGGGTTCAAGTCCCGATGAGGTCATTGGATTTTTATCAATTGAGGCCCTCGGGTCGACTCAGCCTCTAACAGAAATGAGTGCCTGAAATATTCTTGGGAGTAAAGGGCGGCCGGATGAGGTCATTGGATTTTTATCAATTGAGGTCCTGGGGTCGACTCAGACTCTAACAGAAATGAGTACCTTAAATATTCTTGGGAGTAAAGGGCGGCCGGCGCGTAAGGCTGACAACCTTGCCGCCATCTATGAGCCGATTTTCTAGAAAACGTAAGAACCTCAACATCTCACAACCATATGGGCCTCCTCGGCCTATTACAGGGATACCTTTACTTTTTACATGTTTCTTTAAATATACTTTGTTTATTCTTGGTGGTGGACATAATTAAGGGTCTGAAAAATTTAACTTATCTAGTATGTGTATAAGACTATTTATGTATTGGAATACTTGTTTCTGACTGTAATGTAAACAAATTATGTAGGGGGAGGTACATCACATCAAAATGTGCTTGGAAGCACCGGGGAAGAATAATTTTCTAAAATGTATTGATTTTTTAAAACAGTTTATTGTAGTCACCAGATAATAACACGGTTTGTACAGAGTGGTTCAATGCTTCTGATGAGATACTCTAATTCATACACTATATCCAAATTCTTGTTAATCCTTCCATCATTTATTAATATTTATTATTCGTTAACAAGCGAGCAACGAGTGGCATTTCATGTCTTGAAATATATTCTTTTTAAACTGTATGAAGAAACAGACAAAATGATCCGCAGGGCCTAGTTAACATTAAAAATAAAATATGTGCAGAGTTTTGGAGGCTGTTCGACGAATTGTTTGGATAACACAACATTTATGTGTTAGGAAAGCCCATCGAGTGTTACGTCCATTCATGGTTTCTCTGATGTAACGATAGAGTTTGTGAAACAGTCAGGAAATCATGAATGGCTTAACATTTAACGGGAAGCCAAAGTTTTCGAACAGCCTTCAATCCTGTTTTGGTCTTAGTTACTGTTCGAAAACTTTGTGTGTCTGCAGTTAATTTTATCAGCGTTTCTGTGCAGTGAAATTCTCAAATTACGCAAAAAGAGGTTCCAAGAGACAAAACTACATTTATCAAAAACAAGAATAAAATGTTGCTGGGGTTTGCAGGATAATCTCTAAAGTTGCTGAGGATATATATATCATCTTTTGATTTCATATTCAATATTCATATTCAATTATTCGAATCTAACGATTGTTAAAAAAATTTTCACAGAAAATCTAAGATTTCCCGTACAACTTTAGCAGTTAAATGGCATGTAATACGACGACTCATGGATCCACTTTAAATTATCGATTATTTTTAAAAAGTTCATAACCAGCCAAATTTGCTGAGTTCTGCTTTCAAAATAGTCCAAGTTTGTTCTCATGAGTTCATTTAAATTTCTTCATTTCATTTGAAATAATTTGAGAATTTCTTTAATTACTCCTATAGCAGTAAGTTCTGGTTCTGTAAAATGGATGTTCTTGTACATAATTTATGGTGTTCTACTGTATAAAATGGTATCACATTGTCCTATGTGAAAATACGACCTACAGCTTATTAATGAAACTTCAGTTTCCGGCTACAGTTCCTTCTGCCTTTTTTTTTTGTGGCTTTGTTATCCTTAGCTTATTTACATTCTTTATTACGGCATGACATAAGGAGTCACTAAACACTGTCTCACACTTAAAGAGACTCTTATTTCATGCATGAATGCAATTTGCCGGCATGTAAAATTGTTTTCTTTCCGATTGGAATTGCTTTTGTGTGAGTGAAATAACATGATTTCTTCGACATGTTTCATTATTCCCAGTCAGAAAAAATAAAGTTCCTTGGTGTAAAATAATATATTCTAGTGACAACATTATGCAAAGCATCCTGGTTAGGTTGTAACGAAAATTTAAATTTCATCAAGTTGTTTTATGAACCTCCGGTATTTTGTGGTCGACTTGCAGAATGCGTTATCCTACTCACATTCGTGATACACCTTATTTCGTGGTACGACACTGTATTTTCCATAAAATTAGGTCGCAGAGCTGTTATAACTAACAGTTTAACGCATTGATAATTTCTTGGAGAATGTAGAGAATTGTTCCACGAAATAAGGGATGTCACGTAGTGGGATAGTTTGCCCCAAATAACTTTTGTCTAACTTTCAAAATGGACTATATCTGGAAGATTTAACTCGATTCATTTTTTATCTTTTATTTGCAAAACGTTCGTTTCAAAACAACTAAGCAGCAGTTTAATAAGCGTAAAGCCTGCTAAAGTTCCACATCATGTTATTCATCACTTCTAGGAATAGTCCCTGTGACAGATTTATTGTCGTGATAGGGATAATACGTTTAATAACTCAGAAACGGTCTCGGGGCAGTTTAGATTATATGAAATGGAACTTTTGTCAAAGTACGCTTCCCACTTACAGAGTCAATACAAAAGGATATTTTATTTCATTTTAACAAATCATAGAGATATGTCCAAGAAAAAAGGAAACGACTGTTTCATTTATTCAGATCCATTAGTAATAAAATTATTTATCTGTTAACAGAGCTAATTCTGTTTTATTACGAGAACAGATGGATACGCAAGTATGGTATGGATAAAGTTATAGGGAAAGAAGATAACTTTCATCTAAAATATTTTCTGTTTCAGTAGAAGACCATAACCAGTAAAACAACTGTTTATGTTTCTTCTACCATAAAATACGGAAGTATTCAAAGTATTTACTTAATTTAGGCATAGAATCATCACGAAAGCCGCTAGCTGTCTTCAGAATTGCTTTGGAGCTTATTTCATCGCCGGTTCTTCATATGCGCTTCTTTATCAAATCACTTGCTATAATAAGCCATGAGTGATTTTCTAGTGACTGAAACAGCGCCTTGGCTGTTTATTTGTAGCATCGTGGGCAAGAAAGTCATATACAGATATAAATATTATGTAGACTATCTTTCTGTTTAATTCTGTTTTTCTCGTTTTTAGATAAATATTTCTTCTACGTGTTAGAAGAACGAAGTTCAGCAAAGTTCTACTTTAATTCAACTTGTGTTTCCTTGATCGGTTTCAGGTACGTGTTTACCATTGTCAGTTACCTCATCGGCGTGTTTATCTTCGCCACAATTGTAGGTAAGTCAATATTTGTCTCCAAGAAGCCGGGGCCCGTGTGACGAGCGTAACTAGCATGCTGCAACCCTCGCCATAAAACATGTGCAGTCTGAGTTTAACTGCAGCGAATCTTCACAAATTGTGTCTCAAGAGACATTTCTAATAACCTACGTTGTTCTTACAGCACGATACGCCCCACGCTATAATTCTGGAATTTTACTTTCTCCATAAATAGATCAATTTTAAAGAAGCACTAACTACTCAAAATACTATACCCTACTACCTACGCGGTAGCGTAGTTGGTTGAGGGGCTATGCTACAAGCCGGAAGGTCGTGGGTTCAAGTCCCGATGAGGTCATTTGGGTTTTTCAATTGACCTAAACCTTCCAGCCGCACTAGGCCCTGGGGTTTACTCAGCCTCGAGAAATGAGTACCAGGAATTAAATAAATAATTTTCCTGGGGAGTAAAGCGCGGTCGTTGCGTAAGGCTGACAACCTTACCGCCATCTGTGAGCCGATTACCTAGATAATGTGGGACTCTCAACGTCTCACAGCCCTATGGGGCTTCACGGCCTGGTATAGGGATAACTTTACTTACTTACTTACTTACTATTACAACAACAACAACAACAACAACAAGAACTTCCTCCTCTTGGCCACGAATATGCAGTTGTTATAGTGTGACAAAATCGGGTTTCAAAGGAGAAGTTACAGAACTTAGACCTTCATAATTGTGCTCCTCACCAAATATTATTGCAGTGAACGAATAGAGGACGATGGGATAGGCATGACAGGTAGCATTCATAGGAGAGGTCATAAAAATATACGCACAATTTTAGCAAAAAGCAAAATGTGAAAGGAAAATGCGGCTTTGGAGGTCTAGGCGAAAATAGGAAGATAATATTTTAATTAGGTTTAAAGGAAGATCGTAGCCATTGGCAGAATCTTGGGATCACAGTAATGAATTTTCACGACGGTGGTTATAAAGAGAAATATCTTCTGGAATTTAAGGACATGTAGTCTGTTGAAGGTCAGCTGACGTTTAGCATGTTCCACCGAAACGTCGCATAATTTTCAACGGACTACATGACTGTATCTTAGGATACATGACTCAGTTTATTTTTCAGAACACAACGTTTCGGAGACTGGGTTCTGTCTCCGTCTTTATGACGGACGGACGGTCAATACTTTTATTATGCGAGGACATCGACAGAGTAAATGACAAAGAAATTCGAGATTTCTTATTTCTTCAGAAATTAAATGTACATAGTCTACAGAACACCTGAACATCTTATTGTTTTAAATAATTTATTAGTACATACGTGGTCTTATAGAATGGGAAAAGACTCTGAATGTAAAGGGTTCATTAACATTAAAATTGTAATTAGCTTTTTTCAGTTATGATTAAAGAAAAATATTCAACGAATTAACAGCACTAATGTGAAGATGACCCATTGTGGTCGAAACATGTAGTGCGAGCTATGTAAATAATGAAATAAATATTAAAGTATTGTTGCTTTGACGGTAGAAATTATATATATATGTTCAAAATAAGTTGTTCGGAAGTTGAAAATTAAAAAACACGTTTCCCAGCGGGAAGTTAATCACATTGGTTGGGGCTAGATGTGTTACTGACTCCCTTTGAGACTGATTCGTGTTCCTCCTTTATCGTTCTTGGGTTTATTGCGTTATTGCAATTACGGAATTGAGTTTAATATATTTCGACTAGAGCCCGACTGGTTTGCTTGCAGAGCTATCCGTAGGCAGGAACATAGACGGCTTCCTGTCAGCACATGACTGCCAAACGACATGATAACGGTCCCTCTGTCTCCATTAACCAGAAGTTGGCTTTTTGTGTGTATGTGTGGGGGGGGGGAGGGGGCGTTAATAGGAATTGCTGGATGTACATACCAAATTTCGGGATATAAGTGATACCGTAGTTCAACAGTAATACAGTGTGTATTTACAGATTGGCATCAGCATCGTGACCTCCTTATTGGGTCAGGTTTCTTAGACAACGCTATCTCCGAGAGCTTTATTCCGGATTGATCTTTTGTTCATATTTTTTCTGTTTTGTAGTGATGCGATCTTTTCGGAAATTTGAATGCTCGCATTTTTAACACAGTTTCTTGTATGGCGCTGTTTGCGGCCGGGGCTCGAAACTGACGACTCACCTTCATGTGGTGCTGAAGTCAAGAATTGTGGGGCTGTGCTTCCGCTCCCTCATGTGTCGTCATGGCATAGTGGTTAATCATATTGTTAGTGACTAGGCGTGGGGTTTGCATTAGTAACTGCTTTTATTGGACACTTATACACCGTAACTACAAGTAATTACAACGCTGTCACCAATTGACCCACCCTTCTCACTACAGCTTACGCGAAGCCTTCTATATTTTCACTAGCCGTTGCCTGGTGACATTTCTTATATTGCTGCTATTATTGTGCGTAATAGTGGCATTGACTTTATAGCGTGTTTCCAGTGTCATTATCTAGCAACGGATGACTTCTCACCCTAAGTATTTCGAGCATGTAACAGTATAATTAAGTACAGGGACTGCTTTACATTTTGCCATTACCTCGGATATTGAAATTACCTTATAGGAGCGAGTAATGCCACATCTACTATCGGATAAATCAGGGCTGGGGTCCCACAGTGGAGTGTAGTAGGCCTGCTCCTGCTAAATACGTGGATCAGCGACATTTCCTTCGACTTCAGACAATACGAATTTGAAAATTTGTGCCTGTGTCAAGTTCCATTTGACCCAAATCTTAAAACCAAAAAATGCAGAGAATTATGTAGGACTTCGACTTTGGTTCAGGTTCAGGGCATAGCAAATCCACTATTCCCGCGCACAATTTAGAGGTTCTCATGTACTCCGAACTTTATACTCAGCGTGACGTGCTTCCGTCGAATCTAGGCCACTTCATGGGCATATAATGCAGAATCCTGAAATTTATGTAGGCCAGTTGATACATCTTCTTTATGCTGCTGTCATATTTGTAAAATAATAACTTTGCATCCCCTCTAAATATATACAATTAATTGCCAACTCTCGATTTCACGTATCGGAAATTTTTCCCTTTGTATATATTTCTGCCACCGCAATATGTGGTTTCAGGTATGCGCGGATTTTAGTTTTGTATACTTGGATAAAGTCTGTGACTTGAACACCAAAAGTTCCACATTTTCTCGGGACACTGCTATACTGTCCAGTTGAGTTCAATTTGCTTCCCGACGCCCTATTTATATACATTTTAATATTGTCCAAGCCATATTTTTATTAAAATCTTGTATATATTTAGGTCTTGGTAGGTGTTTAAAACAGTAGACACGGTTCCCTTAACGTCAAATTTTCCAGAAATATTGCTTATCTGAGTTTGTCCAACGCACCGTTTTTAGAAAAGTAAACCCAAAGTTACAAATCGATTGCTGATGAAAGCTTTCTGATTGTGATACATGACGGAACGCTGCAGCTGGTGCGTGAATTGATCATAGAGTACAAAAATGGCAATGGTAAGAATCTTTGAGATAATTTTTAAATCTCAAGATGTGCATAGAAAATGCTGGCGTAGTTTACATGTAGAATAAACTACCAAGTTTTATAATTATTATCACATATTAATCATAGGTCTTATATCCTAATATCTCAGTTAAATCTAAAATAATTACATAAAAATGGGTTCATTAGTTCTGCGCTTAACTTCTTTCTCTATATGGATAAGTTAGTTTAGTGCGCATAACTTCTTCCTCTATATGGATAAGTTAGTTTAGTGCTTATAACTTCTTCCTCTGTATGGATAAGTTAGTTTAGTGCGCATAACTTCTTTCTCTATATGGATAAGTTAGTTTAGTGCTTATAACTTCTTCCTCTGTATGGATAAGTTAGTTTAGTGCTCATAACTTCTTCCTCTGTATGGATAAGTCAGTTTAGTGCGCATAACTTCTTTCTCTATATGGATAAGTTAGTTTAGTGCTTATAACTTCTTCCTCTGTATGGATAAGTTAGTTTAGTGCTCATAACTTCTTCCTCTATATGGATAAGTTAGTTTAATTCTGGAGTAAAATGATAACCGGATAATTCGACGTGTTCTGTACGTGTAGTTTTACACTCAAATTAGGAATATCCTCCGAACTATTCTGATCGCTTAGAGTTAATGTGTTACATGCTTCCATATCTGTGTAGACGGGCTTGCAGGACAGATTCATAACAATGAATCTCTTTGCAGAACCACAGTTTATAATAATAAACAGAAAGAGCAAGCTGAAGTGAGTCGTACATTCTAAAGAGTTCTGACGATGGTGTATTTGAAGTAAGCTGTTTCTAAGGGACCCAACTGAGTAGCGGTCTCCCCCCCCTCACCCGATGCCGGAAACAGATCCAGTTTCCAAAACGTTGTGTACTCTAGTTTCTAGAATACCAGACGATGGACAAAGGCTAAAAACCCAGTATTTCTGAAGTATGTCGTACTTATAAGGATTTAGTGCACATAAATAAAAATTACAGCTGATATTGAAGAGCGGGTGTGACTAAAAACATGTTTGCTTTGTTAAGTATAAAATCTGATAAATGGTTTGTTCCAGGACAAGTGGGAAATGTCATTACGAACCGTAACGCAAACCGTCTGGAGTTTGAGCGGCTTCTGGATGGCGCCAAGACGTACATGCGACACCACAAGGTTCCTGGGGGTATGAAGAGGAGAGTCCTCCGGTGGTACGACTACTCGTGGTCCAGGTAAATGCGGTCGTGAACGGGTCCTGCAGTCAGGAGTACAAACGCATTACAATATATTTACATAGACAAAGAACCAAACGTCCTGAAACACCACATCCTTCATGAAAGAGTCTTTGTGTGCTCAAACTAAATATAGTAGAAATTTTTGTCGAATATCATTCTGGGTATAAAAAATAATTAATTGCTGGTGCGAGAATATGTTTCCCAACTTTATATTGGCACATGTCCCATAGTTAGCAAACGCGGAAAACATTAATGTGTTTTCGTAAAATCAGTTATTACACCGATAGCCCTTTTAGAAGAAGAATTAGTTCCTGAACAATAAAAAAGCATGTATATCCTATAAAGATATTTTCCCTTCATGTTCTCATCCTCATGCAGTTTGTGGAGCATTCTTATGATATAAATAAATACTAAATTTGCTGACAGATGGTGCAAATCCGTTCATCCATTTTGGTTTCCGTTTCTTTAATGCTGCTGTCAGTTATTCAGGCTATGTAGCGTCGAGTAATTGGATGATAGTGACCGAATGATTTGGAAATGCTGTGAAAAGTTGTCCTGGCCTGTTTGTGGTTTTGTCGGAACATTGCCTGGAGGGACTGAGGAAAACAGCGAAACCCAGTAGGCATGATAGTCGGTGTACCGGCTGAGATTCGAATATGGCACATCTGGAATACAAGCCAGAGGCTTTACCATTTGAGCCAACTTGCGTCGTACAGTCACTCAGTGTGTTATTGAAACTGCAGCTCTTAACGATACGACGGAGGAGACACGTTCGCCCGACACGCAAAATTGATTGTTCAGATCTTAAAGTGGTAGTAGTTACTATAAGATTCTGACGATGGTGTATAACACACTGATATGTTGGGATTTTGGACTTTATCCATCGTCCTGGTTTTTAAGATAACAAAAACACGACGTTTCGGAAACTGGACCTGTTTCCGAAACGTCGTGTTTTTATTTGTTATCTTAAAAACCAGGACGATGGATAAAGTCCAAAATCCCAACATATCAGTGTGTTAAAGTGGTAGGCCTAGAAACAATGTAGAGCACCCGGAATTTAGTGATATGCCTCGAATCCCTTCGTTGTCATTTAATGAACAGGTCTGTTGCCATAAATAAAATGCCAATATATCAATCACATTTCACTGCATTACACCCTCAGTCCCGTTTCAGTTAGGAATTAAGCGTTTGCTGAAATGCAGTTCAGTTCTTTATTATTTATATGCCGAGTCAACAGCCGCAAGGCCAATTACAGACAGGGCACAGTGCAGATGAAAGTAATTACATTATGGACAAAAGTTATTAAAAGTCAAATTAAAATTACAGGTAAGTACTTGGAAGAAACAATATTGAAGAAAAGTAAACAAACAAACAAATAAATGATAATTATAACTGTAATAATAATTTCATTATCATTAAACTAAGTGTTATTAAGAATTGAGAAATTAAACATAAATATTTAATTAAGAAATGAATAGTATTTATGAAAAATGCATCTGATGCCAAATTATTGTGAATTGGAGACCATTTGACCATTTTTGTGAGGAACCGTGTAAGGCAGCTTTGCTTGAAAAATTATGTTTTTCGTTTTTCTGACTTCAAAAATAATTCAGGTAAATCTAACCTAATCTAATCTAAAAATCTAAGATAATTGGTATGTCGACTGTTCATTTTCTCCTACAAGTTAACTCCAATTGTATGTATATAGATTCAGTTCCATCAAAGTTCTCAGTAACCTAACATTGAATTATAATTAAATGATACAGTATTAAATTATGTAAGAATTTAGAATCTAATAATGATTATTGTAACGGTTACTATTTATTTTGGAAAAGACACGGTGTAGTTTGGTAGATATGTACCAACGTTTCAGAGGAACGTGTTTCCATCATCTTCAAGTTAAAATAATAATGTTTTACCTATATACAAAACTATACGGCATCAGATTCAAGAAGACAGTTATATTTGTCTGACCTGAATTGAATTGTATGAGATTTTAAGTGTTAGTAGGCAGTGGATATTTAGGTTGTGGTCTTCTGAGTTAGGAAGATAGAGGGTAGTATGTTCCTCCAAAACCTTAGTGCCTACCTGTCAGACTATGCGGTGTCACAACCTTCAAGACTACAAAATAAATTTAATTAAATCATCACATTAATGCATGACTTTGTTACAGTGTTGCAACACATAAATCCATGAATATAATTGATATTTTCGTTTTCTACAGAGTGGTCCTCTCTTTGCTTACTGACAAAATCTTCCAACAGTGTACAACAATTTTTTCATTCTCTACACAATATCGAACCAAACTGTTTGCTATTCAGCTACTTTACTTACGTTTCTGGCTCTATAATCATAGCCTAACCATCTGATTTATAATGTGATTATGTTTTTATTGGGGGCACGCGGTAGTGTAGTTGGTTGAGGCACTACACTACAAGCCAGAAGGTCGTGGGATCGAATCCTGATGAGGTCACTGGATTTTTCAATTTACCTAATCCGTCCAGCCACACTATGGCCCTGGGGTTGACTCAGCCTCTAACAGAAATGAGTACCAGTTATATTACTGAGGGTAAAGGGCGGCTGACGCTTAAGGCTGACAACCTCCCCGCCATCCGTGAGCCGATTGTCAGACAATGTGGGACTGTCAAAGTCTCAACCCTATGGGCCTCCACGGCCTGTTACAGGGATAGCTTTACTTTACTTTTTTTACTTATATTTTTATTACCTGTACCTGTATATCATATTTCTTCTGCTTCCTTTTTTAAGTTGAGTATAGCGTGGTTATATAGTACAGTAATTCTGGGACAGTAGTTATTATGAAACTTTTGAGGAGACGTTCGATTTCCCATATTGTTGTTTTATATTGTGCTGCAACACTACCTAGAGCTTTTAATTTCAGATGATAACATGATTTAAGATCTGTAGTATTATATATATTTTTAAGATTTACAAACGTGTAATACAAGAAAGGTTTAAATAATCTTCTAAATGTCACAATGAGAACTATTAAAATTTACTTTTTTTATTGCTAGTGGGGTGGGACTAAGTCCCTTGTACTACGGCCACTTCTGGCCTATTGTACCAGCCCCAGATGATAGGTGAGGGTGATTGTGGAGCAATTGGTGGAATGAAGATTGGCAGGGGAAACCGAAGTACTCTGAGAAAACCTGCCCCAGCGCCACTTTGTCCACCACAAATCCCACTTGACCAGACCGAACCCAGGCGGCCGCGATGGGAAGCCAGCGACTAACCGCTTGAGCTATGGTGCGGCCAGAAAATTGTAAATTACTGTTCAGATTGTTATCCTTTTATTGAAGGGGTCGTATTCAAGGAGGTGGTGATATTAATACAGCCCTTGGCCTGCTGCCTGACAAACTGAAGACTGAACTGGCTCTGCATGTAAATCTCAGTGTCCTTAAAAAGGTGAGTAATTGCAGAATATTGAAAATTGTTATGAATATATTGTCCATTGCCGGTCACGGTGGCCGAGCGGTCTAAGGCATGCACTGTCTTTGCTCGCTCGAAAGCCGGGATCGTGGGTTCGAATCCCACTCAGGGCATGAATGTTTGTGTGCGTTTTTCTGTGTTTATCTACAGGTAGAGGCCTTGCGACCAGCCGATCACTCGCCCAAGGAGTCCTACTGTATGTGTAAGATCTAGAAAAAACGAAGTGAACAGAGTTCATGGAAGTAGGCCTAGGCCCACTGGGGCTGTAGTGCCAAGGAAAAAAAATATTGTCCATTATTATAGATACACAAATTGGGATGTAATATTTAAGTAGTCAGAACAAATATCTGTTGTTCCATGTTTATAATATATCTTACTGATTTAGAAAATAAGATTCAAAGTAGGAAATAATTTACATATTTTTCATTTTAGGTCACCATCTTCCAGGAGTGTCAGCCAGAATTTCTCCATGACCTGGTGCTCAAGATGAAAGCCTATATTTTCACTCCTGGAGATTTGATTTGTAGGAAAGGAGAAGTTGCCCGGGAAATGTTCATTATTGCAGATGGTATCCTAGAGGTTATAAGGTAATTTTCTGCTGGATATGAGGCTGCTACCGTTCCAAATGCCACTTTCATTACAATTTGAATCAGGACAAGTGAGACCAGAGTAGCCTGGTTCGAATATTGGCTGGAAGATAGACTGTACTCATTGAATTTTCAAATATGCTCTGTAGACTTTCCAGGTGAAAGCCAAGATAGTATTTAGAAATAAGTCACAGATGTTTCATTTACAATTATTTTATGTTCACCATCATCAACCACATGTATCATTTGATGCTAAATTACCTGTGAAGTTGTTGCAGCATCATTAAATAACCTAAAATCAATTATTTTGTAATGAAGACAGATGCACTTAGAAGAAAATATTTTACAACATTCTATATATTTCTAAAATACCAGGAAATATGTCATGTATCAAAAATACAGAAAAGTAAATTTTATTAGTGTTCTGTTAAACTCCTCTTTTCTAATGCAGACCGAATAGAAAACATCCAAATATACGAGTATTATGAAGCATACTGTATGCATCAGGCTAAGGTTCTGTGTTGATGAGGAAGTAAGTATCGGCTTATGAATTGTGGATGCACATCGAATACCAGGTTTCATTTCATTTTTTCAGTTACACAAGTAAATTTAATATCTTCTGAGCTTTGTGCTTAAACATTGTGATCAGAAACATTTCCGTGCAGACGAGATTTTGTCGTCATTATTTCCTTTAATACTGGAAGCAATTCACAGGTGCCATATGCATACAGGAAATTTGCTCCATATTCTAAACATGTTATTGTGGATGAATTTCAAAACAGGATTTTAACGTCAACATGTTATATAACTAGTTCTTGAGAAGTCATGTGTGTGTGTGTGGGTGCTTACATGCATTGTCCATTTTCAGTATTATATATATATATCATTTTATAAAACCGGATTGAGTACTTCTACACCCACTTATAAATTTGTCATTCATTCCATATCACACTGGCTTACTGAACTTGTGTCCTCCTTTTTCAGTGAGACAGGCAGAGTTCTTACCACAATGAAAGCTGGAGATTTCTTTGGAGAAATTGGAATCCTCAACTTGGATGGACTAAATAAGTAAATATTTAATATGTCAAGTAATGGTAGTTAATTGCTTCTTCTCAGATATTTCAGTCTTTTTTCTACATCAGAAAATTTTCTTTTTGGACAAAGTGGCGCTGCGGCAGGTTTTCTCCTAGTACTTCGGTTTCCCCTGCCAATCTTCATTCCACCAATTGCTCCACAATCACCCTCACCTATCTGGGGCTGGTACAATAGGCCAGAAATGGCTGTAATACAAGGGACTTAGTCCCACCCCACTAGCAATGAAAAAAATAAGTTTTCCATTATGCTTGTTTCTCTTACTATAGAATGCCCCCCCCCTCGCCCACATCTCCTTTGCCCCCTCCCTCACACCAGCTCTTTGGACCTTGGCCACTTTTTCGGCTTCTTAATCCTATACACAGTCTGTAGAACTCATGGGAGGGGTGCCATTCTGTTGCAAGGTTGCTACCTACACACAGAATAAATGCACAGAACCCACAACCCCAGCATTCGAGCGGGCGAAAATGGTTCATGCCTTAGACCGCGCAGCCACTGTGATTACTACTATAGAATTTTTACTAGCATGAAATTCATATCCCATAAAATGTAGTTTGATAAAAAATGTAACAGTTTTTTGTTCTTCTAAAGGAAAATTTGGAGTCTGAAAACTTTTTCCAAGACCCAAAATCATATATCATTCCTATTAAATCTGGAACCACCAGTAAACCTGTCAGTTTTTAACATGCACGGGTAATCTTCCATAGAATTGAAGTGTCAGCAGCTGAATTAGGCACTTGCTACAGAATCATGAATATTCCCTAAGTGCTGTTGAAGGTCATATTGCAAGAGCAGAGAAATATATACCAAATTACGAAAAAAAGAGATCTCGTGTTACAGACCACTTAGATAGGCTAGGTGTTGATGGGAGGAACATATTAAAATGCATGTTGCGGAGGTAGGTTTTGAGGGCGTGAACTGAATTTATTGCTCAAGACAGGGATTAGAGTTGAGCTTTCATTAAAATGGTGACGCACCTTTAGTTTCCCTAGAAAGATCAGAGAATTTCCTAATGAGCTGAAATAACTGCCATCTGCTCAAAACTTGTACCATTGCAGCTGATCACTCTCCTTCCTGAATGTGGTAACCAATTATGACATGAAAGTATCTTTCTCTGCTTCAGGCGCACTGCAGATGTAAGGTCAGTAGGATACTCAGAACTCTTCAGCCTTTCTCGTGAGGATGTACTTGCTGCTATGAAGGACTACCCAGAGGCCCAGGAAATCTTGCAGAGCCTAGGCCGCAAGCGTCTAATGGAGGCACGTAATGTGTCGCGAACCAAGTCCTCAGGGCACCATGATGGGAAGGGCATGAACTCTCCTGCCTTAAGAGATGGTGTGGGAGGCACTGACTTGGATGGCAGAGCTGGCAAGCGCATTGTGGAGAAACTGAGAAGTGATGTTAAGGGCCTCAGGAATGTCTTGCGTAAAAGTAGGCGTGGAGCCAGGTAATGTTTGCATTTTAAAGAGCATAGATCACCAGTTTAAATACATAACATGTGGGTTAGAGTATTTGTTTCTTCTGTATTCCTAGACATTTTTGTAATCCACATACACATGCTCTTGTTCTCCTGCTCTGGCTAGTATGGAAAATAGATTATAAGGCCACTTGAAGGAAGATAGAATCTACATCTGTAGTACTACAACTATGTGAAATGTCTCAAGCATCCTTTGAATTTTTCTAAGTAGCTGTTTGGGTTTAATTGTCCATTCTTTTTCTTTGTTTTGTAATGTAACACAGGAGCTAAGAATGTTATTTTCTATTTATCTTTGTCTCTGATTTTACTTAAAATAGATAGTTTGAAACAATTTTATGAAACTAAGAAAAATTTTGTTTTATCATGAAAATACGGCTGTTGCCTTTGTTATTCACGTCAGTAATAGGAGGTGCTCAATATACAGTAATATGTTAAATTGTACTAAAAACAATAAAAATCATGACTGTTAATATGCAGAATGAAGGATGAGTCCATGGAACTTCAACCATTAAACCCTGGCTCTATCAGCACAGCGCGTGTGTCATCTGCTGCACACTCTGGAAAGGGTATGCTGCGTAGAATGTCCAGAGTTCATAGTGATGAGAACTACTCACGAGAAGAATCACTGGAAGATCAACCATCTGCAGCACCTACGGCTAAGTTAGGGGAAGGTCTTCCTCTGCTTCAACGCCTGCGTCTGCTTAAGGAGAAACAAGACCGAGAAGATAGAGGGAAACATGCGTTAACTCCGACATCTCCTCCGCCTGCACCAGCCACACTGTCACCACCAGCATTCAGACTTCAGCCTCCACAGGAAGAATCACAGGAACAAGAAGTGATTGGCCCTGGATTACCACTAATACAGAGGCTTCTTTTGCTCAAACAAAAAGAAGATCATGAAAGACTCACAATGCAGACAACTGCTGCTGTTACTGCAGATGTTCTAGCAACTGCAGTGAAATCACAGCAGGAGGCTGAGTCTAAATCCATACAATCAACTGTGTCTCCTCCTGGCAGGAAAGTGAAGGGATGCATTAGTGATGATTCACGACATTCATCGTCTAGTAAAGAACAATCAGAGGATGAGTCATCACTAGTAAGCAGGAAATCATCTCTGCTCAATAGACTGGTGTCATTGAAACATAAAGATTCATCAAGTGCTTCAGTTGTGAAACAGTCCACTGGTTCTAGTGTTGTGATCCCTCCTCAACAAACATCTGATACCAGTTCATCAAGTAGTGCTGATCCATGCATGGCTGCCTCTATGAAAGTTCCACTTCTCCGTGATAAATTGAAGCTACTAACGCAGAAAGATAATGTACAATCTTCATCGGCACCACCATCATCATCATCAACTGGGATAGTTATTTCTCCTCCCAAAGTTCATAACCATTCCAGTGCTAAAAGTGACAATGACAGTTCCAGTAGTTCTGCAGCAGTGTTAAAAAAGCAGCACTCATGGAGTCTTTTAAAAAAGGCCTCCATATTATCATCACATGGCTCGAATGAAACTTCTAAAGAACCTAATGTTACAGCACCAAAGTCTGCCACTATTCATGACCTTCCAGTTTCATCTAATCAAGTAGAGTCTGGTGGTACTTCAACATCTCAGTCCCGAGAAGAGGAGGTTTCAGATTTAGCCATGGTTCAGACATCTACTGATGAAACTGAAGTGATACTGTGTGATAACAATGATAGTAAATCAGTTCCTTCCAAACTTCCGTCAGCTCTTAAAATCAGTGAAGTATGTAGTGCTAAAAGTATGTCTTTATTTAAGCAGAAAGTAACAAAACTTATCAGTGAGGACCAAGGGCAACAATCTGCAATTTCACAGGTTTCCAAAGTTCAAGACAAGCTCAAGTGTGAAGAACAAGTGCCTGCTCAAGAGGAGAAGAAAGAGAATGAAGACAACCTGAAACATATACCTACTGAAATATGCAGTGAGGAAGGAAAAGAGATAAATTCCAAAAATTCAAGGGAGATAGCTTCATCAATAGGTTCAGGAGAGGAGATAGCAGCCCAACCTTCCATGAAAATCATGGATCCTTCTGTATTGACACCCGCAGAACCTTCAACTGCATCTTCAGAAAGGCGACGGCCCAAACCCAATCTCCTTCGACTGCAACAGGATACAAAGTTTTACATGTCTATTGATGATCTTTCTCCTGAATACTCTGGGTTACCTTTTGTTAAAAAACTGAAAATTCTTAATGAACGACAGAAGTTAGCTGAGCTGGAACAAAAAGTTGCTCATGTATTCATGCGTAGTTCAAGTTTGGACAGCAGTAATGCCATATCAGGCACTTCAGGTGGAAGTGGGGACTCAACTGAGTACCCTCTGGATCTAACGAATCTGACAAGAAGCCACTCTGAAGCCAGTGCCATGCAATATGTAAGATCCCAACAACTCAGCAGAGACTCTTTCAGCCGGAGTGGCTCACAGATGAGCAGGAAGGATGATGAAGAAGAGGAAAGTGCATCTCCCCCGCAACGACCGGCAGAGCTTCCACAGACACCAGCATCTAAAGCACCGGTATCACTAACATCTCCAGAAAGCAATGAGACTTTGGAGAGACGAAACCTGAAAAGTATTCTCAAGAAATTGTCAGCAAGTTCCCTCTTCTCAAGGAGTACAGAAGAGACAAAAACAACCAGCTCAAGTGGTGATCAGCCTGAAGGAAATGCAATCAAGGAAGTAACCACAACCCAGCCAGCATCAAAACCGTTGACTGTGGACATGCACAAATTGTTGAGGGCACCAACTATAGAAGGCTATGCTGCACGTCATAGTAAGCTGACCAAGAGTGTGACATTTAACCGTGACACACTTCAGTCCCCTCCAGCTACAGCCACAACACCAACTAACCTTTTGCAGGAACCCTCTGGAAGCCTCTTTCCTCTTCCTGCTGCCTCAGATGTCCTAACAGTAGGTACAGTCGTATCCACATGCATAACCACATCTACCACTACAAACTTAACTATTATTACACCCTCAGCAGTCTCATCTGCATCACCCACAGATTTTAGTGAAGCATCTGTACCTCAGCATGAAACATTCCCTCCAGTTACGACCCCAGGGACAGTTGTCTCAACTACAACATCGTCTTCAGTAGCATCACAACCCACCATATCAACAGTTAGCCCGGTGTCGCCACTGGCCGGTATAACAAGTGAGCCTTCACAAGTATCAGCAGCAACTGACATGACCCAAACACCAGCAGATGCCGCAGAGTCAGCTTTAAAGAAGAAGCCCAACGTCTCCTTCCTTGTGCAGCATCCGCACCAGATACCCTTGTCCGCAAATGAAAAGAATTTCTTCCGTCCCTCACTTCTGCTGCCATCACATGCTTGTCTTGAAGAAGAGTACTTCAATGAGGTCATTGTGGGTATCAAGCAGGTCATCCAAGGACACTTGGTGAGTGCACCTGCAGCAGACAAATGTTAATTTAAGTGATATATCAAAATGTAAAAGTTAATTAATATTACTACTTGTCACAGAAAATTAATGGCTGTTTTACTTCCTCTGTTCCTTAAACATAGAAAAGTAAGTAAAAAATAGGAGACTGAAATGTCATAATGCATGAGAATTTAACTTTTACTGTGTAGTTTTCAAATGAAATGAGAGGACTCAACAAACTTCCCTAAAATTTTCTTGTTTCATTGTATTGTAAGAATATTTTTCTAGAAATAAAACATATAAACGAAATATTATAAATCAATAGTAACAAACTGAATTTCAGGACGCAGTGAGCCTTGTCTTCATCGTCCATTGAAGTTTCGCCCTATGAGTGGATTTACAAAAGCCGAATTTCTCTTTTGTGATAAGAGTTATATCTGAAATTAGTGAAAGTGAACCATGTTATGGAAAAATATAAGCTTAAATTTTGTCTTGCAGGAAGAGATCCAGAATAAGTTTCAGTCTCAGTTTCAGTCTCTTGAACTAGAAGTGAAACGGAGAGATGAAATCATCTCTCAGCTACAAAAGCGAATACATGAACTTGAGGTTTGTATATAATTTAGATCTATTAATTGGAAAAAAAAAATATTGTTCAGCCATGAAATTAATATGTCCTTTATTAAACAGATTAGATAACTAACATAAATGCACATTAGGAATAGCTTGCATGGCTAATAAGTCTGTATATTTTGCTATTGTATAAAATGTTGCATGCAAAATTTTTTTGTATGTTTGTGATTTGTCTTTGTACAACATGTGGGATTGTCGTCACTGTGTGTAGTCTTGTCATTACTCCTATGACAACCCACTTCTTCGGAACAATTTGTTGGCCCTGAAAAGGACCGTGGTTACTGTTGCTGCTTGACCGGTTAGGTATCGCGGCGCGCGCCGGTGAGGAGAAAGGCTAGTTACGGTGAATGGCGGGTGAAGGGCTAGTGGAAAGGCAAGTCGTTGAGCGCGGTCGTGGGAGCCATGAGGCAGTGGCTACGCCAGATGCCTAGTGAGTCAGACCGTAACACGATCACCGGCGAGTCCAGGCGCTGTGCCCCAGTGAGTCGGGTGTGAGAACGCTGGCGAGCCGAGGCAGTCGTGCCTGGCGCAGCCTGCCGATGTCTCCGAAGACCGAGCGCTGGCGACGAAGCCTGCTGGCTGAAGTTGCTTGCTGAAGTGAACTGAATCGAACTGAATTAAACTGCATAACTCGGTTCTGGAGTCGCTCCCTTTTATACGCCGGTCGGTGGGGCGGAGCCAAACTCGAAAGTGAGGAGGAAGAATTGATTGGCTAGCGCGCGTAATGGTGTAGGCGCGGACTATCGCCGAGCGTAGTATAAATGCGATCGTTTGAAGCAATCTGATTGGTTAGCGCGCGTGATGGTGAAAAGTGATGTGAAGAGCGAGCGTTGCAGAAATGCGTGATAATGTGGGATGTTCCCACAAACATTCAACATATCCATCTCTAATGGTTCACTATTTATCACCATTACACACAGGAATAAATGTAGATTTTGTTGACTGCCATGTTGTTGTTCAACATTGTACAAAGAAAGAAAAAAGCTGGCCTTGAAAGAAGTTGCAGATTTTTTGTAGATATTTTACAACATAAAATTTCATAATTCTGCCTTAAATGACACGCCTTTCCCATCTCAGATGGTTGTAGGACACCATATTGATATTATTGTTGGCATGAAGCTGTAAACTACAAAAATAGGGTGGCCATTAGTGGCATATTCGATAAGTTTGAAAGAAATCTGTAGAAATTTATTGAAAATTGTAACTAAATGTAATGCAGGCAAGTAAATTTATACACAATACTGATGTTAGTATAAATTTTTTCTTCTCAATAGTATAAGGAAACCTGGTGGCAAAAAAAGTATAATGAGAAAACTGAGTATGCTGATGTAAGGAGGTACTTATTTAAAGCATCGAGGTGCACTTAGTCTGCTGTGATCATAGTAATGGGAAAATATTTATCTATTTCTGCTACTGTTTATTTGGTGTAATTTTCAGCAGATTATTGGGACGTGGATGGCACAACGGGAAGTGGGGGTATGTGACGTCACTCGAGGAAATGCAGAGTTCACGTGACCCCCACTTCCCATTGCGCCATCCACGTGTTAGGTATATTCACTTGACATTATGTTTAAAAAACTTTCCTGTAACTTCTGATTTTATGAATTATTCAAGCAAATATCCCATTTACTTGTATTTGTTTTCTTATCTTTTATTGAATTCCTTCAAATACACAGTGTCATACATGCCATAACAATTCTAAAAATAATAATTAATTAATAATAATTAAAAAAATACATTTACAGCCTGGTATAAGAAACTTGCTGTAATATTTTAAAAAATCTGACACTTCACTGAAAGTCTTGTAGTAAACACTTATTCCAAGGGTGAATCAGATCTTTGAAGATTAATCATGTAACAATATTTATATCTGTAAAATTCACAATAGTTTCTATCTGCAGCATCCTGACTCCACAGAAAAAGATCATGAGGGTGATGACAGAGATTTATCAGACACAGATGATGGGTCAGACCAACCATTCATGGTGAGTATCAATGCATGTTCAGTATAATTAAGCTGTGGGGGCCAGAATAGATGACTGTAAAGGCAGAATACTCAAACAAATACTTAAATTTCACGTGTTACTTACAGACATGCATACTGTTACATAGTGTTTGGAAAATAAGGGGGGGGGCGCTGAACTTGTCAGTCTTACTACTTCTTCATACTTGAAGAAANTTGAGAACCAGTAAAAGCAGACACAGTCTCTTCGCTTGCAGAATTCTTACATTTTTTCTTCTACCCTGAAGATGGAGGCGATACGTTCCTCCGAAACGTCGGTTAACACCACATATACACGGTGCCAAATCCCAGAAGACTGCTTTCTTCATAGTCACCGCCGTGAAAGCCTCAAATTCTTCATACTTGCTTCCATCTATCCTCTCAGTTACTCCTCGGATCTATGGTCCTTTGAGAACTTTCCATGGTACAGAATGCACCTGTGTATTTAATCACAACTAGTTCTTCTGCCTCTAAGCTTACAATGAAACAGTCTTCTACTTTCCTTGCAACCACAGTCTTGTATAGGTTGTAACTTCAAGAATGTTCCGCTTGTAACGCGAAGGGGGCGATTGTCAACTTTTGTGGACAGAAGAAGAATGCCGAAAGGTGATGGGGCCTAGTGAGGTTTCGGGACAGGCATATACTGGCCAAGATGCCGCTTCTCATTCCCTGCTTCCCATTCAGTCCTACAATAGTAACAGCATGTAAAAAAAAAAAAACTGATGCAATGTCTGTTAATTTAAATGACTTGTGAATTTCTGCTTGCCAGTTTACAAAATTACATTTCCCTCAGCTGATCAGGTCACTGGATATTTCAAGTGTGGGTTCTTGGCCTGATTGTTATTAAGGTTGTTGTCTTTACAGCGAGGAGACTCTGTAGACACAGTTCTAATGTCTCCTCCTCCAGCATTACCAGATGATCTTGAAGAGGAGAGTGGCAATAATGCTGTGGCAGATGAGGCACCATACCATAGCATGATTTCGCCTTCACACCACATATTACAACAGCCGCAGACATATCGTCACTCCTGGGAGGACCATTCAGAGGAGGAAACCCTTGAGTTGTTGGATTTGCCCAGTTCAATCAGTCCACAACACATGTGGTGTGTGGAAGATGGGTTACAGAATGACAGAGACATACCAATAGACAGTGTTGCCTTGGATCTTGGATCTTCTGACACATCATCCTCATCATCTTCATCAAGTGATTCTAGCAATGATGAGGATGACGCCTTTGCTACAGATGATCTTCACAGTGTTGGGCACAACCAAGATTGGGAGGTAATTTACATCATCAATACTGTGGGCGATTTTGAAATTGTCACAAGACTGGTTTTAATACTGTAGTTCAACACTAAATTGCTTCCTGCTTGTAAAGTTATTTCACATTTTGAGTTTTGTGACACTGAATGGTAAAAGGTAAAGCTATCCCTGTAACACGTTGAGGACCATGCGGTTGTGAGATATCGAGGCTCCCACTTTTTCTACATAATCGGCTCACAAATGGCGGTGAGGTTGTAAGCATTACACGCTGGTCTCTCTTTACACCCAGGAAGATTCCAGCCTCTGTTAAGAGGATGAGTCAACTCTGGGGCTATAGTGCTGCTGGAACAATTAGTTCAATTTAAAAGTGTAATAACCTCACTGGCTCACTAAACCAATTAAGACTGGTCACATGGGCATCCTGATCTAATTTATCTTTGGATTCATCTGAACAGACTTTTGAAGACCTCAAGATTTATAATTCCTTAGTTTATATGCTTTCTTTGAAAAGTGAAAGAAATAAATGCACAAATAAGTAATATCTGTTTCTCCATCAACATTCTTAAACTCTAAAACTATTGAAGAGATTTCAGACAAGTTTAGCACTGGACATTTTACATTAGAAATTAGCATGCAAATTTAATTGTGGTTGCTGTCAGGGCAACATAATTCATAAGACACTCAAACATTTTTCTCAAAAGCTACTCGTATCAAAAATTTTCATCAATATCTTTGACTTCTATTTGAAACATTATTTAATACTGTGTTATATATAGACCCATTGCTAAACGGTGACTCTGTAAACAGCGGTCATTGCTATGCAATAGCCATAACATACACACACGCAACAGTAGAAGAGGGTTATGCAACCCGTTTCTAAACACTGGCTAGATAAACACATGCCCACTGTAAATACATCTCAACAAAAGAGAGGCTGTGTTTCTATGTGGTCCGCGCCATGACCACTGCTATGTAGCGGTGTGGAAACGTGGTGTGGTCCGTGCCGAGGGGCAATAAAAACGTAAAAGAAGGTCGTTTAAGTCAGGATAAGAGCTTGGGAGCAGAGGAGTCGAATTGAGGAGCCACGCAGGCAGCGCTTAGTAGCCTTTATATCAACGCCCCAGTAAGACGTAATGAGTGGTTACAGTGGCGGGCTACCTCCACCCACCCCCATCACTAAGACATAATTGGCGACAGCGGTGAGATATCCAAATCCACCCCTGTCGTAGAAGTGTAATATATGGTGTGACAGTCTGGAGGTAGAGGCGGTTCAGACCTGACACGCCCGCTCTACGCCAATAATAAGAGGTGACAGTGTTAAAAGGGCCAGCCAACAGAGAACGCTTGACCACCGTGCTACTGGCCCTTAGTATTTTCATCACCCCTTTCAAGATATAATAGATTGTGGCAGCTGTATGTAACGAAGGAAGTCCAGAAACAGGAGAATCCTAGCTGAGGGTAATCGAGGATTAGTGCGTTAACCCCCTGCAGCGTAAGATGTGGTGGCAAGGAGGGGTACCTACACGCCCCCCGTCACCACGGCATAATAAGTGGTGGCAGCGGTGGGATACCTCCACGCCCCCTGCCACCACGGCATAATAGTGGTCATTTTCATCACATTAGCCAGCAGAAAAGTAAAACTAACCCTGTAACAGGCCATGGAGGCCCACAGAACTGTAAGACCTTGAGTCTCCAGTATTTTCTGTATGGTCAATTCACAGATGGCAATGATGTCAGCATTAGGCGCCGGTCATCCTTTACCCTTAGGAAGATTCTGGGTACTAACTTCTGTTGGAGGCCGAGCCAACCCCAGGGTCATAGTGCGGCTGGAGGGATTAGGTCAATTGGAAAATCCAGTGACCACATCGGGAATTGAACCCTCAACCTGCCGGCTTCTTGCATAGTTCCTCAACCAGCTACGCTACCATGTCCCCCTCCCCTTTAACAGCATATGGATTTTTAATTTAAGATCGTAATTTTCATTATACCTGTGCAGGTGCAGATGCTGGCTCGTGAACTGGAACGGAGAGAAGGTATCAGCCGCCTTGAGGATGAAGTGCGGGACTTAAAAGTTGCTGTCAGCTCAAGTGATCTGAGTCACCTGACGAGCTCTGAGCTGGACATACTGGAACAAGTTCTGGTAGCTAAGGACCGTAAAGTGAGAGCAGCTGCTCGAGCCCTCAGTCTTGACTCTGATGACAGCTACTTAGATGAACGATCACTCCATCCAGTCATCCGTCACAAACCAGAACTCCATTCCCCATCACTCTCATCAGCATTGAATAAACAGAGGCTTTTGAAGCAACGATCCACAAATGGTGGAGGCAGCATTGAAAATCTCCTGTATAGGACAAGTCTCTTAAAAAATCGCCTTTTTTCAGCAAGTACTAAAGGGCATAAACCTCTTGTAGCCCGTTCACTGGAGGAAACTCCTGACAGATCGCATAAAACCACAATAAGCTCAAGTGAACGTAGGAATCGTAGTGCATCAAGTGGAAGCATTACTCCAGTAGGTAGAACATCAAATTTTGCATTGCCATCTGCATCAAGTTTAATGAGGGGCCTGGGGACTTTGGTGAGAAACTCTGCAAGCACCTCTACATCTCAGAACTCTTCTCACAACAGGCGACTCTCTGCGACATTACTCGGTGCTGTCAGCAACAGGGCTGCTGTTCCCACAATATCCAGTACTTGTGGCGAGGTGTCCCCTGACCCCAGCCACCACACAAATGACCCTCCACCACCTGATCTATGAATAATAGTTCTTGGAAACATTATCATTCACACTGTGCTGAATTGCATTACAGTACACCAATGACACAAGACCGTTGGTTACATCTCTCTTTTGAGGCGCATTGCATTGTCTCCTGGTACAAAAGCAGGTTTATTCACTGATCGTGCAAGTGTTCACCCATTCAAGCACTGATCATGCAAGTGTTCAAGCATTCAAAGCGTTATGCGTCAGTGATTGAGCTAATGAAGGTAATACGCATTTTCTTGCATAATTCAGTTTGATATGTTACTCTGTCTAAAGTAATAACAGCCCTATGTCTTTAATAATTATTTTTATTTAGTTAAGAAGTAATAAACTTGTAAGATATGAAGTTTTCACGGCAGTGACAATGAAGAATGCCATCTTCTGGGATGTGGCGCCTATTATTTTTATTTAATTAAGAAGTAATAAGGTTGTAAGGTATGAGGTTTTCACAGCGGTGACTGGGAAGAATGCCTTTTATGGGTTGTGGCACCAGGTATATCTTGTGTAAATATACATTTTGGAGGAACGTATCGCTATCTACACACCTCACCACATCGGAGAAGACTGCATTCTTCAAATGTTAACATTTAATAGTACAGGTCTCATTAATGAAATCAGTAATTGTGAGTGCACTCATAAAATACTGCATGGTACAATCCCTGAAGTAATCACATAGTTTCTGTAGTCATTAAATGCACTGATTTGTGTAATGTTTCTATTTATATCCAATATATTTTCTTCATTACGCTAGTTAAGCACAATAGACGACTGTAGGTCATGGTGCAAAGGCCAAGAAGTCATTCATTCATTCTTTCTTTCTGCTAGTTTCTTTATACTTTGGTTCTGCAGTAAGTTTGAAATTATTCTACTACATATATTGTGTTACTAGTACAATTATATAATCTGTAAAAATATGTCACACATGTTAATAGTTCAAATTTACTACATAACATAGGCAACGATTTTCTTTCCTATAACTTCAATAAAAGAATTTACCTCAAGGGAGACAGATTTGTTATAAGACAAAATGGAATTCTACTGTAATTTATGTACTCAGAGAAACTGACATGAATGAATGCCATTAATAATGACCGTCATTGACCCAGCTATCGTGAATAGTTCTCTGCATTTAATAAATTAAATTCATAATAACATCTTCCTGATCTAGTTTATACCTCATGTGACAGTTATGGACCTTACATTAACTTCTTACTCTGTCTTATTTAACATTTTGGTATTTACAAATGTTTGACTAGAATAGCATAGTGAGTATGTTGACTGCCTACATGACGTACGGGCGAGAGGTCAGAGTTCGAGTCCTGGTAGGGACAAGATTTTTCACCTCTTCACGTCATCCAGACCATTTCTGTGGCCCACCCAGCCGCCTATCCAATGCTTACCGCGGATCCTTCCCCGGGGTTAATGCGGCTGGAGCGTGAATCTGACTGCACACATCCAACTTGTACCGAGGTAAAGAATACATTGATCTGTACATCCACTCCCCAATACTTATTCATGCCATATTGCTTAATTGGTTAAGCATAGGGTCAATTTTCCCCATAAATCTTTACTTTAATCTGTAAGACAGGTGAGAGATAACCTCAATTCAGTAAAACTGTGGGCCCCATTAAATTGTGGCAGAATGATTTCGTTCCATTCCCCAGAGCTTTCATCTGTAAATTTTCCCGAAGTTGCACTGCATGTAAGTTGATTTTAAGAACACACATATACAAACAGATGTCTGGTAGAAATCTCCATTTACATTTGTTACACTTTCTATGATGTATGATAAATTGTCTCTTGTATTTCGCCAAATTTTTACTACTGTCTCTCTCGACATTCTTTCATCGTTTTATATGGTAATCTGTAAGGAACATAAATGTTAGAACACGAAATGTATGAATTATCTCTTTCAATGACTGAAATAATATCCCCCATTCCATTAATCTTATCCTGTACCAATTATCCCCACACAAAATTGGGAATATTTGTATAGGACAGAACAGTGGGTAAGGGAAAAGTGACCCATTTGCACGAGGATGTTGACCATGCTTGCCTAGCCAACTTTGTCCAGGATACAGATTTGAAAGCACACTACAACCGAGGAGTACATGAAAGGCTTTATTGGGGATATCGAACATAACCCAATTGTCTGGGTTGCTTGAGATAACTCTTATGTCTATCCACTTCTGGAGTTCGGAGAGACGAAACTTGTCTTCCTCCTGAATGAAAGATTGTAGTTCAGGCTTGGGGAAATTGAGAGCTTTATGTGTAGAATTTAACAACTCTACTACAGACAAATATGCCTCAGAATAATGTTTCTCTACCCAAGTGGTTGTATTTATTCTCTCAGGTGGTGCTGTAGCTTTTGCAAGGAGACTGCCATAACACACTTCAGATTTGAGGTTCAATTTCTGAGTATTAATGGGATAATTACCAATAACACCATGAAGAAACTTTGGGATTTTGTTTGATGTGTCTTTTAGACATTGTCGAGTTACAGGGCGTATAGCTGATTGCAAGTGGGAGTCTGGTAACCTGGGGTGTTCACTCCCAGGAGCAGATATATTGTCCTCAATGTCTGGTATGTAGTCGTCAATGGTGGTAGCTCAATGACAGGTCATGGATCACTGTTAAATAGTACTAATAGCTGAAGTTCATAGATGGATAAAAGAAGACACCTATACGGTTGCTAGGTGTTGTTGGATATTGGTGTAATACATTATATATTGTGGCTTTGAGTTCATGACCCTCTAATTATTTTTTTTTTCCTTTCTTGCTTTCTTTCTTCCCCCCCCCCCTCCCCCCGGTATGATGTAACTTAATGGGATCGTGTCGGTTGGAGTGGAGCAGTTGGTTGTTGGGTTTGAGTCTGCTGTATGAAATGAGGTAATGGGAAAGAATATATTCATTATTCTCCTTCTGCCAAACAAATACCATTACCGGAGAACTCAATGTGCGCCTGGGGAATAATCTCTGGCTGTTCTTGCTACAACCTCTACAGGAAGTTCTGCTAGTTCGATTGGACAGACCTTACAAACTATATCCACTGTTTCAGATTCATATTTTGCCAGATTACGGTTGAGTATAGCATATTTTAATTTCACATTCTGGATACCTATTGAAGTTTGGGTTTCGGTAAACAAGGTGGATGCTGATGTCAAATCATCTACACCGCCTGTAGCCATCCATACTAGTTTGCCCACATCTTCAGAATTGTCTATAGATGATTAGTAGTGTACAAGGTTCAGCGTTTTTAGTTTTAATCCATTTTGGATGAGGTCATATATTTTTGCAATTGGAGCTGCTTTGCACAAGTATCTAGAAACATATCTTCCACAAAGTTTGACGTGTTCACAGATTTCTGTGGTTCACCTATTCTTGCATGGGCGTAAATATGCCACAATATTACTTCTGAAGTCTCACACCTGTATAAAGAAGTGTGTTCCTGCTGCCACATTAACAAACTTTGAATTATTATTATTTCACTGAAATTCTTTCAAGTATAGCCTGAACCATTCTCTATCAGTGTTACATTTTGACAGCTATCTGGTGACTGATGGATGTTAACCTTTAAACGCCGGACTTCGAAATAGTGGTAAGCTTGAGCTGGCCGGAGTTTATTTAAATGTCCGCTGCTGGTGCGCGTTTAAATGCCCGTTGCTACGCTGCGTTTAAATGTCCGTTCCTGTTAGGCGCTTAATCAATTTTAAGCGTTGTGTTTAAAAATGCTGTATCTAGCTCAATTTTTATGATAAATGGATGGAAATAACTTTGTTTATTTCAGAAAAGAACATAGTGTCGCATATTATAAAGGAAGATTTGAAATTTTTAATACAAAGTGTTGTACTCTATTTTCAATTTTTTGTGTTTTAATTTTGATGCGTACTGCAAAAATGGTTTCCCAGTTCTTCACAGAGTTGTTCTGCATTATAACTTCATTTCTGTTTGTAACACTTGACAAATTTTAGCAGTCTCTGGTGTCATAAAACAGATGGAAGCAATAAAATCATTTGGTCTTCTGCTAGCGCTGCTTACACCCTTCGGATTTTCGAATACTTGACTGAAGGTCAGAAGAATGAAAGAATGGCTATTCAAGAGAAAGCTATAGGGGTCCCCTCTTCAGTGCTAAGATGTTCCGTTAGGGCTGCAAAAGCTTATTGCCCCTTCTATTTGAATGAACAGACAGCTGCATCGTGGCTGAGATACAGAGCGTGATCTCTTTTGTGTGCGTTCGTAGTGAAATCGAATACTGTAGTTTCATTTGAACCTATATATACATCAAGAAGGTAACAACAAAAAAGGTATGTACATCGAATTTTACACTATATTTTTAACATACCTATCTGCAGAATCTGCAACAAAATTACTGGATTGTGGATAAGTTTTGGCATAACTCATACGTATATTTTTATTTGCTGTTGTTCAGTAAGGTATTATTTTAATTCCTCTATTAGGGTTTTACTTAAGTCGGTCTGGTAATTACTACATTTAAAAATAAATATTCAGGACTGTGCATGCGCTTCTACTAGCGGTGTGTGCGCGCGCTTCCACTAGCGGAGTTTAAATGCCTGACTGGCCACAACTGGGTACTTTGGCCACGACGACCTTACTCATGACTGGCACAAACTGGGCACTTCGGCACTTAAAGGTTAAGCTCCAAGAAGAAATACTAAAGCCTGTGTATATCAGAATTTTCCATCTGTGGGTTTTTGACACAGGAGAAATTACACAAAGTCTAAAACAATGTGTTTGAATGTGCAATGGTTGATAATATTGCATTGCAAACAAAGAACCGGTCACTAATGAAGCAATGTAGTTGATCTTGTGGAGGAAAAAATTATATACGTATATATATATTCTTGTATTATTTTTGGTCAGTATTTGGGATCTCATTAATTTTTCCTGTTGTACCATTATTTATGCTCTTTACTCGTTACCATTTATAATATCCATGTGAGATAACAATAATTAGACAAGTTTGAATCCAAGAACTTCACCATAATTGGCTGTGCATTGCACTGTTTTAATGGTAAAGCATGTTGTTCGGCCAACTGAGCACTCTTATCTTCCAGTACTAAGAGTATCAAGACTCTATATCTGGCCACCGATTCCAGATAACTAGGGAATTTAAAGTTTTCTGTTCTCAGATGATAAAGTTTGAATGTATAAGGAAGGAGATCTCTGAGTGTCATTATATAATTGTGTATCTCATTTGTATAGATCAAAAGTTTGCAGAATACTAGGAGTAAGTGAAAGGGGACCATAAACTATTTCACATTTAACTGCTGGCAACTTTCCTAGGCAGTATGCTTTAAAGAACATTTATATTTTTAAGAAAAGTGACACTGAAAATAGTTCAGTGTTCTGTTCTGTCAGTTCAGATCCTATGGTTAAACAATGATATTAATTATAGAATTAAAAAACAGTAATCTGCTGCTTTTTTTCACTAAAGTAGTATCTTGTTAAGCAGCCAAAAATGAAGTAAATACCTGTCATTATTAATTCTTATATGTTATGAATTGTTGAACACTGGTACTGATTTTTATGTTTACAACTCAGAATTTGTGAAACACTTTCTCTTGTGGACTATAGCAGTATATTTTGGTATATGGTATAGGAGAGAGAACATATTCTTAGGAATGTGGATTTGTCAGCTTTCATTGTGTGTTAGGTGAGGAGACAACAGCTGATACTTTGTTAGTTGCACTGCTTAGGTTCTCATATAACTGCCTTAACTTTGATACAGAGTCTTAAATATTCAGCACTGTTTGACATACAAGGAATTGGAGTCCTTGAAAATGGCATGTTATGTAAATTTACGTTAGACAGACTTAATGCCATGTGTGTTAAATGGAATATGTAAACACTGTCTCATAAAGCCCCCTGTAGGATGTCTATGTTCACTGAGATAACCACTTGAAGCTATAACAACAAATGTTTGTTGTGTTCAGAACGCGTATTACAAACGAGCGTATACCGGCAGAGACTTCTCTCATGGTGGCTAGTCCAGTCCGGTGATTACAATGTCAAGTGCAGGCCCTGAAAAGAGCCATTTTGTCTAGCAGTGTCTCCTTTTAGCAGCCCTACCTATGCTGTTTTGGGGTATGCGGTAGCATAGTTGGTTGATACGTTATGCTACAAGCTGAAAGGTTGTGGGTTCAAGTCCCGATGAGGTCATTGGATTTTTTTCAATTGACCTAATCCTTCCAGATGCACTATGGCCCTGGAGTCGACTTAGCCTCTAACAGAAATTAATACCAGGAATATTCTTGGAATGTTCTTGGGGTTAAAGGGCAGCCAGTGCGTAAAGCTGACAACCTTGCCACCGTCTATGAGCCGATTGTCTAAAAATGTGGGAACCTCAAGGTCTCACAACCTTATGGGACTCCACGGCCTGTTACAGGGATACCTTTACTTTTTTTTTACCTATGCTGCATTAAGTTATCTTGACCACTAGGGCCTGTAGCATGGATTGCATACCTTTAGACACTGCAAGTATAATGAGATTTAAGTATCTTGATGACTCTTTTAGGCCATAAATTCTGGAACTAATAAATAAAAAATGAAATTCCACTTACGTTTCATATAAAAGTCACTGAACTTACGATTGTAGGTTGATTGTTATAGAGTTAATGAATTTAGTTAAGTAAAGAAAGGTACAAATTAACAAACTTTGTTTTAGCAAAAACTCATAAATCTAATGTTCGTTAAATGATACCAAATTTTCATGTTTAGGAAATAATTTGTTTGTGTGTGTGTGTGTGCGTGTGCGCGCACATCCAAGAGAGAGCTAGTCCTCAATCGACAAATATCCATTGAACATGGGTTTAACAAACAAAATAAAAACTCTGTGGTTTTAGTCTGCAAGCGAACTATACAGACCGAGCGACCGCTGCTTGTCAGCAAGGTTTAATGGGTTTAGTGTGTTTTAGTTGGAAATAAATTTCAAAAGCTCTCTGTTAGCTAGTGAATGCAAGCCAAGAACATTACTACTTGGGCTGTGCTACTCAATGAAAACAACATTGTTTCAGGTCTTGAAGATGAGGTTCAAGGGAGCAAAAGTCTGGAAAGCAAAAATGATGCTACAGCTAGGTTAGGGCTTTTACCATCATATATGTTTAGTTTCCAGTTAATAATGGACAGTTGTCTCAAGTCGTCATCACCTCAATGTAAGGAACTTAGTTTGGTCTCCTAATACTTCTTCACACTTGGGCCTTATTTAAGGTGCATTTTCAATAGGCTTTGCATCATTCTGAAGGTTACAAGTTTAAAATGGTCACTGGCTTTCTCCCCAGAGGTTCCTTGTGGACCGTAAATTAACTAATTCCAATATTTCCAAATCCAACTTGGGAGAAAATCTATCTTGAACTTTTCATAGAAGTCATATTGTTTTTATGAACAATTGAAATATTCCAAGTTTTATTTATTTATGGTTGTCATTAATTTATACCATATAGCATTGAGTAGTAAGATGACTAGTCAATAATGAACTGAAAAAATAAAGATTGAAGAAGTCATGGCCTACTTTGTTGTAATATCCCAGCATTATACTCAAGGATCTGCAGAAAACAATGAAGCCCCCAGGATTGTTGAAGTCCTGGCTGATATTTGAATTTGGTACCTCCCAAGCACCAATAAGATGCATTGCAACTTGAGCCACCTTGGTCAGTCATGGAAATACAAAATGTACTGAACTGTAATTATAGGATGAATTTTTTTTTTAAGTTAGTTACGAGCATCTTATAGAACAGCAGTTAAGTTGGGAATCTATATGACACCACACACATGTTGCCAACCTGACTTTGCAGAACCCTTGTTTCAACCAACCAAGTAACATTAAGAATTCATACTATTGTTCACAATTTTAGACCTGACCTTTCTCAGCAGAATACACAATGAATCTGGCAAAGTCCATTAGTTGAGATAAGTATTGTGTACCTTGAACAGTAAAAATATTGCAATTAAATTATATGCAATATACATGCAGATATTTCACATCTGGAAAATTAAACAGCTAAGGTATTTTGTTAACTGGAATAGAGAACCAAGCTAAGTTAATCCACAGTTAGCCATAGAACTCAGTAACTTTATAATTTAGTGGGTTTTAGTTTATGAATATATGAATAGTAATGATAAGTAGACACTGTATCACACCCCCTGTAATGGGATATACCAGTTGGACATTGAACTGACTATGAAATAATGTGATCATATATCTTGGATACAGCCTACATAAGAGCCTGCAGATTATTAATGTGGTGTATATTTATTAATTTGTTATCTGCACGGTATATATGTTAATCTAATGCAGTTTATATCTCTTATAACTGGTATAACTTCAACTGTAAGCAAACTCCAAAAGACATATTTACGTACACATACCTTTAAAACTGCATATGAAAATTATGCATTTTGGTCCCAAGAGAGCACTTAAGAAAGTAAATATAATTGTGCATTGTAGCACCCTGTTGCACTCTTCCATTTTTATTATAAATCTTATTGTGCAGTTTTATGTGCAACTATTTATTAATTTAAAAGTTGAAAATTTTGAAGTTTTAAATTTAAAAGGCACAACATGTTTCAGACGATATGGACATCATCAGGTGGTAGAATATAACTAATAATGAAACCACTGTTTCTGGGTTGCTGCTATTACATGTGTAGGTTACTCGGATGTGCATGTGTGTTAGAGCATTGCGCTTCTTCCTGCTGAGTTTTTCACTGTGTGTCTCATTCTTGAGTGGATAAACTTTTAAGTTAATAAGTAGTTGTGTTAATAACACTGTAAAATGAGATTTACAGTAAATATAATTGTCTTCCATAGAATTCATGATCCCTGCAGAAATAACTTGCCAGTCAGTAACATTATAGTATTTATTTCCACAATGAACATTTAGATTTCAGGCTTTTATGATGTTTGATGCTAATGTTGATTCTGTTTTGGGATGCTGGCATTGTGTAGATGTGGGCTGCTTTTAGAGCATTTCAGTGATGCTTGCTGTCTTGACTTTTTAGCCAAAGATGGAAACTATACAAATGTTCAAATGTTGATAATACAGCCCACAGCTACATGGTGCTGCCACTCAAAATCAGCATCAACATTAATATTGACGAATTTGTTCTGTAAGTTCCATATTTTGTTGCTTTTGAAATTCTGTGACATTTCATGTATGAAACTTCAGTGGAAACTGAGCTCTAAGGTCAGGGGAAAGCAAGGAATATATCGTTTGTGACACCACACTTATTATCTGATGGATCCTTGGTTCAGCCGCAACCTACAACCACTTCTCTATCTCTTGAGTACTTTTTTATGTTCATTTTCCTCCTTTCTACAACAGGTATCACTTCAGCCCTTCCCAGAATTCCAACTTTCTCTAGGAGCGGGGAACATTTTATAGCAGAATTATGTTATACCAAGATTAATTTTTTTACTTTAGCTTCAGTGAATTTTATCATATTCTGCAGTATAAACAAGGACTACATTGAAATGTGCTAAATAAGTATAACTTTGGTATAAATAGAAATGCTTTAGTTATTTAGGTTGTTCCAATAAAAGTAGTCTTCTTTATTCTGGGGAAGATTTTGCATTTAACTTGATGAGTGTTAGGATGGACCAGCAATGCTGCCACATCGTTACATTACATATTAAACCAGTGAAGAAGATCTCAGTATTTCTCTAGATTATTAAAATTTTTAAGGCAATTTAAGAAGTGATACAAAATAATATTTCAGTACATATATAGCTCAATCTCATTGGATTGTAATCCAATTCAAATAGCAATTCTGTAAATAAAGTACCTAAATGCAACCATAACAATGTCTGTAGATTACAATACACTTTGTGGCAACACATTGTGGAAGTTGCATACACTAAGCAAACTATTAACAAATATGCAACATGCAGGTTACATGCAAGTAGCATATAGTATACAGTTGTAATTATTTACATCCAGAATATGAACTAGTATTTTGTTTCTGTATGGCATCAGTTAACAGGTCACATACAATTGAATGCATTGTGTATCAGTCAATATTATTTATAAGAAGATGAATAGTGTAATAGTGATTTTGAGGAATATTTAATACTCATCAACAGATCCAGGTGTTGCTTCTGTTGTATGGGTTGATGTGATAAAAACTGCTGATATGTCAAGCATATTGATTGCGGTATGACTGGTTGATTTATATAAATATATTTGAGAACTGTAATTATGAAGCATAAAAAGAATTGGTAGTTTTAAATGATGTGTACAGTATTTTCTTCAAAGGAAAGATGATTAGCAATACAGACAAAAAAATGTTGTATATCTGAAAGATGACGAATTCTTTATTGTGAAGGTCTATTTCTTAGATGGTCTGTAAGTATAAAGGTATGTATTCAATTTTTGTATCCCTCTTCCTCACCCCGAATGTGTGTATAACATGTACTGTATGTAGAATGATGGCGCACAGTAGAAGTTTCCCAGCACAGGACTTATCTTATCCATCTGTGCAATACAGGTCCATGCAGCACTGAAGCCATGTCATTCTGAGCTGTGTATGCCAATTGCTTGAAGTGAGATTCATACTGTTTTGTATGAACTGCCTATAAGGCAGAAATATTGGTAAGGAAATAAGTAAAGTTGTTATTGAGTATAGTTTTATAGAATTTTGTTGCTTTGGGAATCCAAGAAGAAACGCGTGGACTGAATTATGTATCAAATTGGATTCATGTTGGTGGTGTATGTTATTAATTAAGAATCATTTTCACTATCTTGTCCATTTTAAACAATTTATGTTTTTCCAATATGATGCAATCTGGCTGTGATAATATTGAAATAAACAGAAAAATCCAATGTTTTTCACCCACTTTGTATATAGCCAGCTTCTTACTGCGTGTGCTGCACGTCCAAAGATATTATACATAGGATGCAAAGCATACATCATTGGTATTGTCACCCCTGCCATAGCACAACCACATAAAATGGGAAATATGAAAAATAAAATGAGAATCATATATATTTATTTTTCTGATCAGCAACTACAACTACCAACCCTGTACCATCTGATATTATACATGCTTTTACCTGAGAGTTAGATTCACCTCTGATATCAAGGAAGACTGTATATCACAATTTTTTTGGCAATGATTATTATGTTAGCATAGCATCTTTATGAACCAACCTAGCGAAAAATCTTGTATTTTCAGTCTGTTAAAGTTCTGACAAAGAGCTTTACCACTTTAAATTATTGTTTTCTGTGAAACTGTTTCAGATGGACTCTCTTCTTTACAGTGAAATACTGTTAACTCAACTGAAATGCTCTACTGTAATGACAGTCAAAATGAAACCAGAAGTACAGTTTTAGATATCTTTTTAAAAGGAGAAAGATCGGAAGAACTTGAATGTTGCCCATAGTTATGTGCAGAGACTTGCAGTTCACACATGTTGTGTATAACAGTGTTAACTAGATTGTTTTTTGTAACTTTAACCTCATGGTCATATAGATGTTACTTTGTTCCTATTACATAAGGAAGTCTTACTGAAACAATAATGTAAATAGTATATACAGCCATGTTCTTATTTATAGTGTTATGATCATTTATTTTCTATCTTAATGCCCGATTTTAGCTGCTTCTACCTTTCCTGTAAACAAATCCAAAAATAACCTATCAGAGTAGGTTGTGGTTATTGTTTTACTGCATGTCTAAATAACTTAATATGTCAAGCGTGGGATTAGTGAGGTACACATGAAGGAACTATGGGTATCTTCATCAGTTACAAAGGTCCTTGAATGATGAATGTGGAAGCATAATTTCCCAGCTGTCTGATCTGATGAAAATGTTCAAATTACTACATACATTGATGAAATTTGAGTTGTCAAAAACTGTATTCATTCATTGTTCAAACAAATTGTAATTACGTTTTGAAGTTTGCCCAAGAAGTCAGTTATACAAATTGGAATTCACAAACATAGAAACTAATTGAGAAAATGTCTCTTAATTATATACTTAAAATTTTTTTCTGCCAAGTTATGATAAATTTGACGAATTAGACTGTGTTCAGATTCAAGTGGCAACTGCCTTTTAATTCCACATTGATTATATACCCATATGTCATATCCTGAGCCCAATAAATTCAGAATATAAAATTCTTCTACCCAATTGGCTTGCCATTTCGCAAATCTCTGTGTAGCTGGCCAACTCATCATGAGACCTAGCATTGCCCCACTGGCTTCTTTTTAAATGCAGCATAACCAGAATCACGCAAGATTGTTACAAAATTTTGTAACATTCCAAATATTGAAAGATGTTTGGCACATCCTGTTATGATTTAAATTTCCTTGTTCTGATTATTCTCTCTGTTTTCAGTTGTGGTCAAGTGGGGTGTGAAAGCAGCCTTGCTCCACTGCAGCAGTTTAAATCTGTGATGAGAAATTTTCACTACTAAATGGACTATGAAATTGACAGAATTTGTGGAAGTCTTCAGAGGAATGGCAAGATATGATGTCCAGGTTAACGTACATCATGATTACCTCAATAGATTTGGCCTGATACTAAATAAATTCATTTTCCTTTATCCTCAGGGCATCAAGTTTGGACCTGAACCTAACAATTTTGTTAGGTTAAGACACACTGTAAATAACAAAACATTAAACTTCTGTACACGTGAAGCTTTAACATGTTCAGCCTGGCTTGTGTTTTAGATAAGTATAGCCATTTAATTTTGGAAGTAAGTGGTTCATTTAGCAGACAGTCTGCTTGCTGTATACACTAAAGTAGAAGAAACTTTAGTATGTCCTCCTTCGTTATTAACCTTTAGCATACAGTTTTTAAATTTGTTTGTGCTTACTCTCAGCCAGAGATTTTTTAATTTAGATGGCTCAGTTTTGCAGAAAGTTACAGCAAATTGTTTAGTCAATACATTTTTTAAGCCACTGACTTACAATGAATACTGGATTGTTAACAAAGAATTTATTTGCCCATAGACAAAATTTTGAAACAACTGACTTTCGAATATATAGAGAATATACATATGTAGTTACAAGAGGCAAGGTATACGCATATACCCTTCCCATGCTTAGTTCAGACAGCAATTATTACATCCTTTCTTCTCTTCATTGGTGTCATCAACGAAATGATGAGAAAGATTACATAAGGTTGGCCTTTGCATCCCTCAAAGACAGGAATTTTGTGTTATAAATCCCACATCCTTGGAAACAACTGAGACATTTTATTTTTTGTGTCTTAATGCATAATTACAAATTTTCAGTGTTGATAATGTATCTTTCGCAGGTCTTATGTGTTGTGGGACTATGTGGTCTTTTTTCCACCATTTCAAACACATTTGCTGCCTCCATATTCAGTGTACAAGTGTCCTGGAAATGGAAACAGATTCTTCCAAAACATAGGTAATCACCAAGCAGTCTACACAATGTCATGACTCAGAAGACCACAATCTTAACAGATATGCTAATTATACTTAGATTTCTATAATTTCTTTGGATGTGAGAGTAACAGGAGGATAAAATTATATAATTAGCCTTCATAACTGTTTTCTTATAATATTAGGGCGATTTATGTGAGGATGAGAGGTGGGAGATATATGTACTGCATATAAGGAAGTTAACAAAAATCTTGTTGCAAAACATCAAGGAAAGTGACTACAAAATTTGATATTCATAACAGCTTTAAATTGGATATTGGAGAAAATCTGTTAGGGTGTGGACTGAATTTAATTGATTCCAAATAGGATTCATGGCAGGATTATGTGAACATCGGGTCCCATAAAAGACAGAAATTTCTTGTATCACCTGAGCAATTGTTATTAGATTTTTTGATGTGCATGGAGTAGCAGCAGACATAGGAGGTGTTACCTGGGCATGGAAGAAATCATAACCACTTAGTGAGCTATGACAATACGTGCTCATGTTTTACAGTTTTATCATAAGGCAGAGAATGAATATTAACTTCATAGACAAAGTGATTCCTGGTAGACAGTGTTTAGACTTTTACTTATTTATCTCTGTTTACCAGTCCCTGATTATGGCGTTAGAAGTGGGGTTATTGTATAAAATTCGAATGTAGCAGGAAATGTGTTCTTATTTGTTTCTTTAACAGTGCTGCCAGTTCAGACTATATAACATTGTTTAGGAGGGTTAATGACATGGTTGGAAGGGACATGGAAGGAAGCACTCATAGCCTAATTTGAGGTACAATCCCTGTATTTACATGCAGGGACTGATGAAACCCCTGAAAGCCATCAATATTTGAAATGGGCACTTCCCAGATACAGGTCAGAAGCTTTTCTATTTGGCCCATTCTATGAGTAATTTCATGCTGTAATCTCGCCTTGAAGGTATACAGGTAGAGATTAATTTGGATACTGATGAAATATGCATGTATGTATTTTGTTAAATTTTTACATATGAGACCGTTCTTTTGAAGTTTTGTTATTAGAGGAGATGAAATACAAAGTTCTAATGAACTTAATTGTATGGATACCAGGGGATCTTTCCCTGGGGTTAAAGCAGCCGGGGCGTGAAGCTGACAACTAGCAAATATTTTATAAAGTCTGTGGGTTTGAGTATGTCTGTGTCCATACAGCATTTCACACCCATTTCCAATGATCCACTTTCACAGCCTGCGGTGGTGTCGATAAGAGGACATTTAATATTACGATAATCAGATAATGATGTGACTAACAGCTTTCGTGGAAATCAGTTGTAGGTTCATGCAATATTGGCAGGCAGACGCATGGATATGAAGATACTACAAGCTAATATTTTTGTGTGGTAGTTTATAAAAAAAAAAAGATGATAATTGAAGATAATTTGAATAACTTTACACCTGGTGGTGTAGTCATTTGAGGCATTATGCTACAAGCCAGAAGGTCATAGGTTTGATTCCCAAAGAGGTCATTGAATTCTTCAAATGACTTAATCCTTCCATCTACGATGGTCCTGGGGCCGACTCAGCCTCTAACAGGAATGAGTACCAGGAATCTTCCTGGGAGTAAAGGGAGACCGGTGCATATGGCTGGCAACCTCACCGCCATCAATGAGTCGATTGTCTAGAAAATGTGGGAGCCTTAACGTCTCACAAGCTTATGGGCCCCTATGGCCTGTTAGAGTCATGAGTAAAAAAAAAAAATACGTAAATGTATCCCTGTAATGGGCCGTGGAGGACATTAATGTGAGTACTTAATGTTCTACCTGCAAGCATGCAGACAGCCAAGCCATGGGATATATTAATGGTGTAAATTTTAGCTAACTTGAGTGAACAACCAAGGCTGGTTGGAAGGGGGATTCCTCCGACAACAATATGGTGTTTTTATTTATGTTTTTTTGTGCAGTTCTTGCAACCAGTTTTAGGTACCTGTAAATCCTGATATTTGCTAAAGATGGAAATTCTTCAAGGAGAGGAATGAGATATTAGTAAAGCAATAAAAATTAACACTCAGCTCTTAATTTTGTGTATATGTCTTTATTTGTTTACTTATTTATTTATGAAGATACATAATTTCTTTAAGCATCTCATTTTAAAACAGGATCATAAAATATATATAATCAAAATGTCATATACTACAATATTATAGTTAAAAATGGTTCAGGCTGTCTTCTGTAGGCAAGCTTTTCAGCTCTGCTTTCCAGTAAGCTTTTATCAGGTCTGAGCCCTTCTCTGCAATCATGATTATGGGACCATTCACATTACCGCGAGTTACGTTGGGCATGATGGAGGAATCGATAATGCGGAGGCCGGTAATACCATGAACCTTGAGGGTACTGTCAACTACAGCTTCTTTTGAAGAAGGACCCATGGTGCAAGTCCCTGACTGGTGGTTCTCAGCGTTGGTCATGTACCTTACAGCACATTGCCAGTACTCGTCAGTGTCGAATGTATATTTCTCACAACCTTTTACATGAGTTCTGTCCAATTCAAGCTGGTACTGCTTCAACGCATTTGTCTTTGATAACTCAATTGCCTTCCTGTATGCAGGAGAAAGAACACATACACATGTAAACATAAGAAAACCTTTTAAATTGCATTTAAACAGTTAATATTTAATCTTAGAGATGAACAGATTTTTATATATATGTATAACGGCTTTGCATATCACTAGAAACCCAGTATTCCAGTATGCAATCACTGGCCGAGGAAGGAATCCTAACAGGCAAATACAGGTGAATGTAAAAAGTGAAATACCTGATGATGACTTAATGAGCCGAAAGAAATGACAAACGTATGGCATATGTATACTTCCTGTTGTTGTGACAGAATAAAATAATGAAATTTCACACATAATATGGCCCTAAAATATATTGTTATTATGGCTTCCTAAACTACTCTGCTTAACAGATTTCTCCATGGAAAACAGAGTCGGTCAGATGGTGAATAAATAAATCGTCCGCTTCTTAAGGAACCAGAATACTCATCACTGTTAACATGTTTGTAATCTTGACTATGAGATTGGTTCAGCAACTATTGCTGACAAACTGATATCAAAATAAACATTTCAAACAATGGCTACATAGTTGTGTAATTTCTATAATAGTTGTACAGAAAGTTTAATATTTTTCAAGGCTGTAGTACCATACATCGTTTCAGTTTTCGGTAACAAGCGGAACTTGCGTCACTCCCACCTAAAGTTTGTGCATTATCCATGATGTTATTACCAATTGTATGAAATTAAGAAGTGGCTTCCAATGGTATACGGTTCGTACCAAGTTGTGTAAGTCACTGAATTCGTTCTCTCTTCTTAAGAAAAGGAAATAGGCCATGTATGCAATGTGAAACCATGGAAGTGTTTGTTACAAGAATTATTTTTAGGACCTGCATTTGATAATGATAATTGTCACGAGATTTTTTCAATTGACCTAACCCTTCCAGCCACACCATGACCCTGGGGTCGACTCAGCCTCTAACAGAAATGACTACCAGGAATCTTCTGGAGGTAAAAGGCGGCCGGCGCATAAGGGTGACATCCTTACCGCCATCTGTGAGCCGATTGTCTAGAAGATGTGGGAGCCTCAGTCTCTCTCAACCCAGTGGGCCTTCACGGCCTGCTACAGGGATAAATTTACCTTTTTATTATTATTATTGTCACGGGAAGTAAGAAACCTGAAGCCCTGTCACGGGAAACTACAGTTCCGTGAAGATTCATCTAGCAGTTTAGTAGCGAAGTGTTAGGATAAAGACGTCGCAGAAGAGTTGCATAATATGCGTTGCATTCCTGAAGGTACCAATAATAAACCTGAGCGTGCTCCACGTATGTTTTAATTTTAACACAAATAAAGAATGATATTTCGTTTTCATTGTTGTTATGGATGTAAATAAGAAACTTGGAAGAATCTGTAATTCTAAACATGTTCATAAATTGTGTGGTGTTACCGTGTTTTGTGCATTGAAATAAGTCATGTTGGCTGTGCGAACTTTCGAATTATGACTGTAGTAATACTTTACAGTCTTCCATTCGGATCGGTTCATTGCTCGGATCAATTTGTGTAACCTACGCAATGAGCAAAGGGTCGTAGCAACTCGGTTCAAGTATTACTGCTTCTGATTTGTATCTGGGAGGTGGTGCTCGCATCGAATCTGTTAAAACATCGGCTTTTCTTGACTACTTTTTCATAGTATCCCTCTCTATTGTGATACTGCGCTGAAGTAGGCCATAATCACCACGTCCCTAATTCTTTCAAAATTACCCATCCAACAGTCCACACTATTCGCACGCGTATTCTGCATTTGATACAACGTTATTAAATAATCTATGATCCGTGCCATAATAAATAATTTTATTTTCCCAAAATCTTGTCCCACGCCGTTATTTGGAACGTGAGGCGCCATCTCACCTCGTGTTGCGGGTTATGACACGCAATAGCCAGCTGGGTGGCTATCAACGTTTTATATGAGCATACTGCCGCCATCTCCAGTAAGGCAGCATGCTCTTCCTGGTAGTAACCTAACAGACTCCACTGTATCAAAACCGAGAAGACAGTATGAAACTTAACCAAATAAAGATCTCGAATTTATCTTACCTGATGCCGTCTACCAGAACGTCGATTTCGCTCTTGTAGGATAAGTAGTTGAGTTCAAGGATTGGATGGCTGTAAACGTTCTTGTTACGTAGTTTGACGTAGCCTCGACTCCTGGGCACCAGAAGTGTGGGGGTGAACGTCACAAACCGTCTTTGACCTGTAGTGAGCGGCTCGGTGTTTTCCCCGGTCTCAGAGCAGTTGCCCAAGAATCCTTCAAAAAACATCTGAATGTCCTGAAGACCTGGTTCCGCGTATTTGGAGCGAATTAAACCAGTCACCTGTGAACGGACGGACGAACTACATACTGTCTGAAGCGTTTGGTGCAGGCACCATCTGTCAACCTATGGGCGATCTATTGCCACCTATGGGCTCAAACCAATTTCGGAAGCATAAATTTTCAGGTTTTCATGGCTATGATAATTTACATTGTAGTAATGTGGATTATAACACCATGTAGTATTTGCTACATGCTGGAACTGACTTTTCGGAAATCATGCCCCACCGTCTTCAGGGTTTAATTGATGTAGGGCGAGGAATCTGTTGGGTTTTATAGAGTAAAGTGATACACTCCTATGCACCCTTCTTATGAGCCCAAACCGGGCTCCATCTGCTATCCCCTCCCGTGGGGCTGAATGACCACCTTCCTCGGAAACAACCTGCATGTGTAACCAAACCGATTCCTTCAGCACTTAAAATGGAGGAAGAAAGTTCGTCGGAAACGTCGGTATCTTCATACACGACTACACGGTGTCACAATTAGTGACATACAGGGGTGCCTGAACCATTTTAAAGGAATCTGCAACGGCGTTAAAACAGATGTGGAAAAATTAATTCTAAAGTATTCTGTCATAATAGATCGCACATTATATTTAGGAATGATAGGTTTCTGGATTTTGACCATCTGGTATTCCTAACAGAACCCAACGCTCCGGAAACCTGATCTGTTCCCACGAGCAGGGCGTCCGAACTTCTGTCGTGCTCGAACAACACAAGGATTCAGACCGTCTGCACTCGTACTAGCGCTCCTTAGAATGTATAGACACTGAAATCGGCTCATTATGTGTTGTATTAATTTATTTTCAAGCTGAAATTTTCAATATTTTGAAGTGTTTTTAAATTTAGCAGTTTATGCAGTACTGGGCCTGTTTTAGTAGGGGTTTTAACGGTTGAAGTCTCCGCCCCTTTTGAATCATCAGCAAGTACATGAAAGATGATTGTTTCTAGACAACATTTAAAATACAGAATGAAAGTGACAAAAGACCGGCGTTTTGAGGTGGTGATGTACTTTACCTGTGACATGCCTGTTGACGACATTGGTCCGTTACGGGTGTTGAGGTATTGTGTCACGGTATCCATGTTAAGATCCTCAAAGTTAGAGGCATTTTTTACAATGAAATTTACGCTGTATGACACGTGATTCATTAGGTTTTTTCCAACAGACGGTGAGTTCAGAATTACAGGAACACCTGTCAAATAAACGCCAGTAATTTAAACTCAATCATAGCATGGTTTTCATTACCGAGCACTGTTAAAACTAACTGAAGAATACATATCTAATTTCGTGGCGAATTTAGAATGTCGTGCCACGAAATTCAATAGGTATACCCTGTGACCTAAGCTGTATTTTGGGGAAGTGATATAAATTAAGTTGCAAAGTACTATTTGGAAAAAACTTATCTCTTCGGAGTTCCAAGTAAGGCCGCCTGCCATCAGATTCCGTCACACAGGGATATCGGAAAAGAAATGAGGTTTCTTATTCTTGACATTCGAACTTAAAGTTTGTTTAAATGTACTGGGCGCGTAAAGGGATAATTCCCTATCAGTTGTGAGTTGCACGTACCAACTTCGTGGAGGTGTTTCTTCGGGCCGATGCCAGACAACATGAGGATCTGTGGAGACTGCACTGCTCCGGCGCTCAAAATGACCTCTTTTTTTACTTTGATCGTCTTGTGTTCTCCGTCTTTGACATATTCTACTCCTTTCACTTTCTTTGTGCGTTTGTTAATAATGATCTTAGTCACCTGAAAACAGAACCCCACGTTTATATGGCTGTAACAGAATAGCGGCACGAGGTTTTCTCGACTGTGAATGTTTAGATCCTGGTTTTCTGAGTTACGATATCGTGAATACCATGAAGAGTGTTCCACCGAAATGTGTGTAACCACATAGAGTATTACGCAATATCACAACACACAATATACGCACAGAATGGAGCTCCTCTAAAACATTTTCATGAACGGCCGTCAAGAAAACAGGCGGGAGGCATTCAGAACTGTGGATGAAAATTTGCAAAGTGAATTAAAGAGTTGCCGCCTCTGATATCAGAATATTTGTGACATGGCGTGAAGTAGCGCATAAATGGCAAGTAGTTTGGAAATACATACATCCACATACTAATTGCAGTATCTTGTGAGTACGTAATGAAACATTGATTTCCATAAATGTCCAGAAATTTCTTGACTAGCTGACTATTTATTAATTGTAATAAATTATTTACAAATATAATTTACACTTTTTTTATTAAAACCNTTCGCTGTGAATCCAGGACCATTGTTCTCACTTACCATGGATTCCGTGCTGACAAAGAGATTACTCCTGTCCAGGATTGGGCTGATGAAAGCCTTGTTGGTGCTGAGCCTGGCGCCGTCCCTATTATTTGCCTGGGCGATCGTGTAGCCAATGGGATCCTCTCCGTTCAGATCAACGTTTGAACGGTAACCGAGTTCTGCTGCTGCTTTCATAATGTCTTCTGCCAGCTTTGGGTGGTCGTTGAATTGGCTGATGGTGAGGTAACCACCTGTGCCATGATATTCCTGTTGCCAGAAAATTCAGGTAAGATGTCAGAGACCCAAGGAGTGCCTCTTTTCTAGAAATAGTGATGCAAACTGTTTGCCACTTCACACTCCTTCTACTGATCTGAGTATAATGATGATGCAGAAAGAAATTCCATAGCCCCCCCCCCATCTACCTAGAGCTCTAGCGCTCGCTTTTACTGACAGGCGTGTGTGGAAGGAAAGCTGCAAGAGGCCGAGAGTGGGGATCGTCCAGCTCTGTCATCCTTACCTTCCGTGGGAATTTTTGAGACTCACTGAGTATAGCTGATTTATTTTCAAGGCGTACATTTTTTCCAGAGGCGTTGGTAAGGTATTTCTTACGTTTTAAAATTCACTGTTAGTAACACTAACTACAAAAGCCTGCCATTGAATCTTATCTTGAACAAACTCAATCGAGTTCATCTGTATCTTCCTACTTTTCTGTAAGACCATTTTAATAATATACTATCATCTATTATTGTGTCTAAAATATTCTCCCCTCCATGATATTTCCGAATCAGAATGGTGTATGCAGGGTGATTAAAAAAATATGATTATTAACACTTAACTACTTTCGAATTACATTTTCTTAGTTAATAAATCAGCGGTTTATGCAACCGTTCTCACGGTCTTGTCGCTTGCAGATTTCTTATACTTTTTCTTTTACCCTGAAGATGGAGGCGATACGTTCCTCCGAAACGTCGGTTAACACCACATATACACGGTGCCAAATCCCAGAAGACTGCTTTCTTTTGTAGATATATTTCACTACATGGTGATCGAAAACAAATGCTTATTATTATAATTATTATTTCCATAATGCAATTTTTGTCTTATTATTACTGAGTTTTTCAATTTTGTCTATTGTTGAGGCGTATTCCCAAAAGAATTAAAGGTGAAGGAAATCAGGCATGTTTCCTTCAGGCGAAAATGTGGGCAGGTATGTACCCAATTTGGCCTGTCAGAAAGAGCTAAACTTATCCACTGGACGCAGTCCAGTGCTGAGAACCGAAAGAATTGCGGTTTCCAAAATGTCGTGTGCTGTTAGAAATTCCAGACGACGGACAAAGACCAGAGACAATAATATAGGGGCTATGTAATATATTATCGTCAGAACCCCTTAGATCTCAATATTGTCTTTGCTGAACATTTAGAATTATTTTTCATTTGCCATTTGATGGTAATGTCTACTTCATTTGATTTGAACCTCAAAAGTTTTGTTCTTAAGAGTGAAGTAGCTTTCTGCTTGTACCTTTTTATACACATCACCAATTTGTAGATTATCCTCTGACTTCAGGAAGTACGGCAGTACCGACTTGAAGTCCCAGCCGGTGTTTCCAGCTTCTGCCCAGTAATCGTAGTCTTTAGGATTGCCACGCATGTACATCATGCCATTGAGCACACCGGTTCCACCCATCACTCGTCCTGGGACAGGATATGACGCATTCATTATCATAAATAAGATCCCTGTCGTACGGTAATATTCACGGTGAAATTAAGGGCGGATTAAATTCGGGGGGTGATTGCTTCCGCTCACTTCAGAAGTGACCGGTACACGTAGTTATCAGAGTCCTATAAACGGTTGTCGCGTACAAGTGAAACCGCGCAGGTCTTGCCACGACAGCAAACTAAATGTGGACTTATGACGGGACAGTCGTTCTATCCGCGCGTTTCATTTCCGTAACTACTGAAAACATCTTGATTGTGTGTAATATTGACAGGGTAATTTCAGGTTAATTTCGGTCCACTAGATCACATCTAATTTTAACAGCATTTCTAAAATTGTTCACTGTACAAATGTTGGTACATTACATACTACATACACGTATGTTATTAACATCTACAAATTTTCTTTCGTACTTTCTTTCGTCATGATTAATATTTAATGAAAAGGAAGTATAATTAGTGACTCCATACAATGTGAGCAGATTTCCAGCATTTTGTGCCTGCAATAAACTGACGTATTCAAAACCTCAAGACCGCCTCTGTGGTCTACTGGTCAGAGTTCCTGGTTACATATCCAGAAGTCCCGGGTTCGATTCCCAGCGATATCAGATTTTGTGAGAAGTAGTGGGTCTAGAACGAGGTCTGTTCAGCCTCGTGAGGATAATTGGTGAGCTATTTCAAGGAAATAGCGGCTCCGGTCTAATAAACAGAGATTAATGGCCGTGAGGATTCGTTGCGCTGACCACGCGACACCCTCTATCCGCCGACAAGTGGCGGTCGCTCGGTCGCTATAGTTCGCTTGCGGACTACAGGCCATGGAGTTTGTTTTTGTTTTTTTATTTCAAAACCACAAAGAACGCATTTGTAATCTACTTATACTCCAGATCGCTCCAGATGTATTAAACTACTTCACTCCTGACACATTCGCAAAGGAAAGCTGTAAAAATATAAATATTAAATTCGCCTCCGTGTGCTTGCGTGCGCGCGCGTAAGTGTAGTTTGGCCGCATATAAGAACTAGAGAAGAGATTTTAATGAAATGTGGCATTGGGAAATTGTACTAAAATTCGTTGAATTATTATAATTTTCGCTATAAACGGACAATAACGAGCGCTTTATAGGAAATACCACTTGTGTTTCTGCTCGCACCTCGAGCTAAATTCGCTAAAAATTTACATAAGCGAAAAATATTTGGGACAAAACATACAGATAAAAATGAAACTCCTTTGACGCGCAGAAGACTTCCTAGAGTCTTGCCGGTTTTAGATCTAATTATATAAAACATAATTTCAAGATCTATTATTACACAGATTGATAGTCATTGGACTGATACAGGCACCCCCTTCCACCGTATTAATCTGTTTAGAAGAGAACATCAACGGATTACATTCACGGATTGAAAGTCTAGAGGCAGTAACGGACGGAATGCTGCAGAATTGTTATCATTCTCAAGTTTAGTTAATAGTTGTGGATGACGAAGCTGTCTGTACATTTACTGTTTTATAAAATTTGCCCCAACCACTGGACGACCTTAGGTAGGCCTCACATCGGTATGCGTCAAGACACGATGTCTGCGACATGACGCAAAGAAAGGAGCACAGTTGAAACGAATGAGATTATGAAAACCGCCGCACACCTGTCTGAGTCATAATGCTGACGTCAGCTTCATGCTGAATCACGAATGAACCAAGATTGCGTCTTTTGTCTCGTGTCTTGATGCTTGTCTTGACGCAGTTGGTATACGGCCGCCCATAATGAGAGTATACTCATATTACGGAGCGGTAAGGAGACGTGGCACCGCATACTAATATGGGCCCCCTTCACCACGGTGTGGAGCGTCTGTTACGGATGGAGGACACTGCCTCCTGATATGGATGGTAAGGTAACTTATCCCTGTCTATCTATCTATCTATCTATCTATCTATGGGTCCACAGCCCTTTGTTGTCCCCTTGGCGAATTTTTCAGTTTCTTGAGCTTTTACACAGTCGTTAGGACTCCTTGGACAGGGGATCAGCCCGACACAAGGCCGTTACCTATACAAAAACAGGATAAACAAACAAAAATGTTCATGCCTCAAGTGGGAATCAAACCCACGATCCCAGTGTTTCAGCGGGCGAACACAGTTCATGCTTTAGACCACTGTGATCGGCCAAGTTATTCCAGAGTTTAATTAGCTAAATACTACGCTATGAAAACCCCGGCACTAGATGGATGTGTGTGGTGAACTTCATGCCCCTGTCGCTTTAACCCCCGGAGAAACGCGCATTTTATTGGAGGCTAGGTAGGCCTCATAACCAGTCTGGACGTTATGGAGAAAAGAAACATCTCTACCCTGCCGGGAATCAAAGCCAGATTCTTCTGTTTTACAGCCCGTAGCCTAGACACTGTACCGACTCCGCTGTCACAGCTCCATGTTATGGACTGTAGCTGCATATGTGCTGAAAAGCAGTCGCAGGCTGCCAGCAAGGCGTGTTTCTCTAGCTTAGGGGTTGGTGTGGGGACTCACAATTCTTCAGCATAAACAGCTAGGATTTAATGAAACGTTACATCTGGTCATGGAATTGGTCAGATTCTTTCGAATGACATAAGCAAAAGAAAATTGACATAAGATTCTGAATAAGGAATATCACGAATCTCTATAGATCAAGCTCACTGACGTTCTATTGGAAAATCTGAAAGGTGTAGACAACTTGTGAGACGTACACAAAGGCGGGAAGATGTTACTGAATTGGTCTTAAAGAAAACACGAGAAAGTGAACACAATAATGAAATTTCTTGACTAAATAGGCTAGTGTTTCTCAAGAAGAACTAGCTTCGTGAATATTAGGCATACCTCTTGGCCACAAGCACTTTCCTTCTGGCCTGCCCAGACAGGCATTCTGCTGGGGCTCCGTCTCAAAATTCCAGTTGATCGTGGAGTTCGGAGGCGGTCTAGAATACGAGAAGTAGGAGCCAGGGTACTGCGTCCCAATGGGTTCAGGGCCCCCGGCTTCAAGAAGTGCCACCTTCCAATCTTTCTCTTCCGTAAGACGATTTGCCACAACACAACCAGCAGTTCCAGCACCAATGACGACAAAATCGACTTCTTCCTGCGAATCAAAATGTCGGTCACAGTCTGAATACTTGCACTGTATGATTTCAGGTAGTGTTTATCAGGCGATACTGTACCATATTCTTAATTAAATTGCTTTTCTACCAAATGTAATGACAGTTCAGGAAGCTTTGCAGTACCAGCGAAGGCTTCTTAAGTTCTGTTCCTTCACTTCATCTACCCATGTTGTTTCTTTGTTAAATTGTTCCTGCCGACTTTTCTCGTTCTCTTTTATATGTGCTACATACTTTTAGAACAACAACAACAACAGAAATAATAATAATAATTGCAGGTCTAGGAAACTCAGATTAACGGCCGTGGGGATCCGTTGCGCTGACCACGCGACACCCTCTATCCTCAAAAGTTGGCACTAACATCGCTGGCAAGAGGCGGTCGCTCGGTCGGTACAGTTCGCTTGCGGGCTACAGGCCACGGAGTTTCTTTAATAATAATAATAATATCATTATAATGTTAGAGTCTTAGCATTCATTTTTAGTTTCTAAATTGTTTTCAGTCTGTTAAAAATCTCTATAAGTAATAATGCTTAATGCATTAATGCAGATAGCCTGCTTATTGAGTGATTTCATGATATGGTGTGCGAGAGTGGGGCAATGTAACCTGGAAGCTGTAGCTAGAAGTGGGGATTGTTTATTTTTAACGGAACTTTCCAATTTACTGACAAAATTTTCTATCGGCTAAGTTTTTTTTAGCAATTTCCCGATGAAAATTGAAATGTTCCTGATATAACGCAGCATGAAAAATGTTCTTTGACGACTAGCAATTAACGTTCTTAATAGATGAACCTAAACGTGTTTTTATAATTGTATTTATACGCTCTTTCATTTATCTGATATCGGGGATAGCAATTTTTCGTCTCTCCACCACGTCCAGGCTGGCTCGTGATCCCATCCAGCCTCCAAAGGATACCGATGCTTCTACATGCGGCTTCATGGTACTCTGCAATATGTATATATGCAGGGTAAGGTCCGTGCGAAACCCACACCTGTTTTACCGGTCCATAAATCAGAAAAGTATGAGGGAAATACTGCCTTAGTGTGCCGTGCCACGTCTTTAAAGCGCAGTGGTAATATATTGTCGCGTTACCATACCCAACACGTGACAATTTCGCTTGCTTTGACATGAAGAAAAACTGCATTCTGCCCATACCGTGCATTTACGCATATCTTACGACTGTTAGAGCAAATAGCGATTATTTCCCTATCCAGTTTTAAAGCACTGGTCTTTGTAATGGGGAGATATTGTGTTTTCTGTAAGGTAGGACCTGAATGTTTTAATACGAGTATTTACTTACTTACTTACTCATGGAGCTGAGCCCTTCTGGAGAAGCCGCCAATTCTGCAGCTACTCAAGAATTTCCCAGCATTTTATGGAACCTGAAGTTTCATTACCGTGTTCACAAGAGCCCTCCACTGGTCCCTATCATGAGCAAGATCTATCCAATGCATACCATCCCATCCTATCTCTCCAAGATCCATTCTAATACTGTCCACCCACCTACGCCTTGGTCTTCCCTGTGGTCTCTTTCCTTCTGGCTTTCCCACCAATATCCTATACGCATTCCTCGTCTCCCCATTCATGCTACATGACCTGCCCACCTCATCCTCCTTGACTTGATCATTCTAATTATACTTGGAGAAGAGTACAAGTTATGAAGCTCCTCATTATGCAGTTTTCTCCAACCTCCTGTCACTTCATCTCTCTTCGGTCCAAATATTCTCCTCAACACCCTCGGTCTGTGTTCCTCCCTTAATGTCAGAGACCAAGTTTCAAGCTCACACGAAGCCACAAGCAAAATAATAGTTTCGTATATTCAAATGTTTATGTTTTTGGACAGCAGACGAGAAGGCAAAAGGTTCTGGACTGAATGGTAGCAAGCATTACCTGGGTTCAGTCGCCTCTTAATTTCCTCCTGAATCAGGTTTCGATCTGTTATCGTTGTTCCCAAATATCTGAACTGTGCCACATTTTCAAAACTCTGTTTCCTATCTTTATGTCATGATTTTGCCCTGTATTTTGGTGACGAGACAATAACATGTACTTAGTTTTCTCTGTGTTTACTTCTATACCAACCTCTTTACTTGCGTCAGTTAAAGTTTGTATGTTTTTCTTTATGGTATCTACATCATCACCCAGTAGATTCACATCATCGGCATAGATCAACAGCTGATGTGTCCCGTTTAATTTCAGTCCTACCTGGTTTCCCTGGACCTTCCTAATTGCATATTCTAAGGCAAAGTTGAAAAGGAGTGGCGATTAGTATGCGAACGAACCAGCATAAACTCGCCAAGGAAAGAGTACAATAAACCAGATGTTAACCAAAACAGGCTGTCGCCAAGGAAAGAGTACAATAAACCAGATCTTAACCAAAACAGGCTGTATGCGAACGAACCAGCATAAACTCGCCAAGGAAAGAGTACAATAAACCAGATCTTAACCAAAACAGGCTGTATGCGAACGAACCAGCATAAACTCGCCAAGGAAAGAGTACAATAAACNAATTTCATCTATATATGGACTTAACCTTTAAAGAAGAATATGGGACAAAAATCTATATGAAGTTGATAGCAGTGATATGCCCCGATAATTACTACAGTCAGTTTTATCACCCTTCTTGTGAACTGGTAAAGTAATTGACTCCTTCCACTGATCAGGCAATTTTTCCTTATGCCAAATAGAAGTAATTAGATTGTGGATCTTAGAATGTATATTTCGCCCCCTGCTTGAATAAGTTCTGCCGGGATTTGAACACTACCTGGCGATTTATTCCGTTTCAATTTTGCAATAGCACTTTCAACCTCAAAAGGGCTAGG